AAATGGAGTAGAATGGCAGAACAGGCTTGAGGGGCTGAATGGCCTCTCCTGCTAGTGTGTTTTTGCTAGTGTGGAATATTGATTGCTATTTTATCAGTAATAATCCAAACATGTTCTGCGTATCGCATAGTTATTTCCGGCTCCTGTGCTCTCTGCACCCCCAAGAGGTTTGCTCTTCTAAATCTAATTTTTAAAGGTGTTGTGAGTGTGCCAGCCTGGCTGAGTCGGTACTACTCTCGCCTCTGACTCAGGAAGTGGTGGTTCAAAACCCCTTGGAACTCACAGAGCTAGGGGTGGGGGGTTGCATTGTTGGAGATATCATCCCTTGGGTGAAACCTTAAACCGAGGTCCCGTCCGCTTGTTCAGGTGTACGAAAAGAGAAGGGAGTTTCTCTCTCCCGGTGCCCAGGCCAACAATCCCCCGGATAAAATTGTTCATTCACTTCATGGCTGTTTGTGCACAAATTAGCTGCCACATTCATCCACAAAACACTCCACTTTACAGTGAATCCTATGAAGCGCTTTGAGACGTCCTCCTGATATGAAATCCGCTCTAACAAATGCAAGAGCTTTACTTATTTCTGTGTCTGTGTTCGTCTGCGTATGTGTCTACAGTGGACACACACATATATACCGCAATGTACCTACACCCAACAAATATTCATCTCTCTTGCTTTTAGATATTTACATTGGCCTAGGAATATGGGAAAACAGGAGGAGGGACAGGAGGAGGCCATTCAGCCCATCAATCCTGTTCCACCAGTTTGTTAGGTCTGCCAGATCTTTTAATCCCAAGGCCCCATCCTTCAGCTTTTCTCCTTAATATCTCCATGACCCATGCCTCTATCTCACTTTTAAACATCTCTATTGACCCTCTCACTCATTTTCAAATCACTTCACTCCCTTTACACCTCCCTAACTATCTGACCTGCTTACTCCCACTCCACCACCCTCTGCTTCCAGCCTCCTGTTTTTGTTTCTCGTGCCCTCCATTCCACCATCCATGACGGTGCCTTCAGCTACTACCCCAAACTCTGGAACTCTCTCCCTCAATCCCTCCACCTCACCCTCTCTCTTCCCACCTTCAAATTCCGCCTAAAGACTTTCCTTTTTGATCGTGCTTACGGTCACCTCCCCCCTCCCTCTGGTTCGTTGTCAGACTCCGCTCCTGTGAAGTGCTCTGGGTCATGTGAAGGGCACTGAGTTGGGACATGTGAAGGGCAAGTTGTTAATGTTGATTACATCTCTACAGCTCTCTGGGCCTGAGCCATCCACATCCTCACGACCATCTGTATGAGCAAATATTTCTGACCTCCGTCTCTCCTGACTCCTTGCTTTACAATCATTTCAGACACCAAATTCCACATTTCCCCAGCATGAGTTAGTGTGCTTCACTATTAACCAGTTTATTAACTGATTTATCTTTGATTTTATGATGATGTCCTCTATCTCTAGTCTCCCCAGAGAACAGGAGAAAGTTTCTCCGTATCTAACTTCATTGAAAATCCTTTGAAAAGCCTATCCCTGTCCCACCTGTCTCTGTAAACCCTGATCTGTCCTTTCTCCCCCACATCCGTGCCATGACCCGCTCTGCGTTTCCCACCTTCTCAACATTGCCCAACCCCGCCACTACTTCACCCCTCAAGCCGCCGAAGCTCTCAAACATGCCTTCATTACAGCCAGACTCGAACTATGCCAACCCTCTGCTTGTCGGCCTTCCCAACTCTTCCCTCTAAAAGCTGCAGAACTCTGTCCTCTCGTGCACCAGGCTCTGTGACCCCATCACCCCCACCCTCGCCCGGCTCCCCTGGCTTACCACCCCTCAGAGGATTGAGTTCAAAATTCTCTTCCTCACCTTCAAGGCCCTCCGTGGCCTTGCTCCTCCTACCTCTCTTACTTGCTAATCTCTTATCCCTCCACTCAGCAGATTCTGGCCTATTCCATTTCTCCCGCCTGGCCCACTCCACTATCGGTGGTCGGGCTTTCAGTCGCTCTGCCCCCACTCTTTGGAATTCCATCCCGCATTCCCTTCGTCTCGCTCCCTCCCTTGCCTCCTTCAAGGCATGCCTCAAGACCCTCCTCTTTGGCCGTGCCTTCGGCCACCCTCCTACCCTCTCTACCCTCCACCTTCCCTGATCCCAACCCTCACCCCCACCTGGGTCCTAATCCCTGATTGTTCAGTATTTTGGGACATCCTCCCGACGTGAAAGGCACAATACAAATCCTGTAGCTTAGTGGTTAGAGTCTCGCCTCGCAAGCAAGAAGACCTGGGTTCAATTCCCCAGCAGGGCGAAACCTTGGGCAAGTTTCCTTATTCCACACCCTTCTGTTTACCTCGCAGTAAGTACGATTGCCATTGTTATTTGATTGGTGGATCACTTTTCCAGGGGTAATAATCCCATCAAAAGCAAATAAAATTAAATAATAATTTGGTCAATCAATCCACGACTGTTTGTGGGACGCTGCTGTGCGCAATTGGCCGCTGCTTTTCGCCCACAAGATACACAGTCAATTAACTTTACAGTATATTCTGTGAAGCTCTTTGAGACGTCTCAATGAAGTGATAAAGTGTGTATAAAGTGTATCAAGTGCAAGGATTGTTTGGCTTGTTGTTGTTGCCATTGTCGGATACTTGGACTCTGGCTAGTTTGATATCAGTGCAAAGTCTCTTCACAAGGTCAAAGTTTGTGATTATTAATAAAACCAAATCTCATCTCTAGCACCTCGCAATCAAATTACACCTTCAATTAATTTCAATGTGTCAAACCATAAATTGTGAGGGTTTGGAACGATCTCATCTCTAGCACCTCGCAATCAATTATTTTAAATGTGTCAAACCATAAACTGGGAGGAACTAGCGATGAGGCTGGCGGGGGGGGGAGGGGGGGGTGTGGGTGATGAGTGGGGGAGTGGGGTGGGTGGGATGGGGTGATGGGTGGGGGAAGGGGAGTGATTTTTGGGTGGGAGAGCGGGGGGGATTGTTGGATGGGGGAGCGGGAGTGATTTACGGGTAGGTGCTGGTCGGGATCCCAACATTGAGTGAATAGTTTTTTTTATTGTTGTACTGAGCTGGCCAGGCAACCTTACAGTGGGTTGGACCCAAGGCTGAGTGATTGTGTTCAAGTCGCTCGCCTTATCTTTCTCGAGGAGCTATTGACCGAATAAGTATGAGTTGTGACACACTTTGGACCTTGGTTACTAATTATTAATATTGAGTGGTTATAAATTCATAGGTGTCAGGTGTGAGGTACATTACTCCGTTATTCACAGCTGATTGACTGCACTGGGAGCCCGGACACTGACAAGCCCTCACCTCCCCCGTGGACACACACAGGCACGTAAGAGCTTTCCTGACTTTTAACTAGAACTTGGTATGATCCATGTTGAGTTTTTTTAATGATTGTCAGACAGGGCTGGGGCTGGGGCTGGAACTGGGGTTAGAACTGGGGCTGGAGCTGGAGCTGGGGTTAGAACTGGGGCTGGAGCTGGGGCTGAGGCTGAACCTGGGGCTGGAGCTGCGGCTGAATCTGGCTGTGTTGATCTGCCCTCACCAGGTTGTGGTTTCCTCTTCTGCATGGCCGAACAGTGTGCATTTTGCAATGTACTGTGATTGATAATAGTAATAATAACCATGCTTGCATTTGATTTGGCCATCATGCCTTCGAGATGTCTCAAAGCACTTCATAGGATATGCTGTCAGTCATTCAGCCAACATTGACAGGTGACTTAGGCACCTCTCACAACCTCCCGCGACAGTCTCCCCGATTCAGACCTCGGTCTACCAGCCACAGACGGATGTGCTGGTAGAACCGTTCAATAACCGGTATGGAGTCCTGTAGCTCAGTGGTTAGAACATCCGCCCCGCAAGCGAGAAGACCTAGGTTCGATTCCCGGGGAGAGCAAAACGTTGGGCAAGTTTCCTTACTCCACACGCCTCTGTTTTACCAGCAGTAAGCAGGAACCTGGTTGTTAGTTGATTTGCGGATCGCTTTTCCGGGGGTAATAATCCCTTTAAAAAAATAAGAAGAATTTGGTCAATCAATCCATGACTGTTTGTGAGACGTTGCTGTATGCAATTGGTTTGCCCACAAATACAGTCAATTCACTTTACAGCATATTCTGTGAAGCACTTTGAGACGTCTAGAAGACGTGATAAGGCGCTGTATCAAGTGCAAGGATTATAGGGTGCTGCTCTTACTCCCATCATCAGAGAGTAAATTACTGACTGGCAACCTTCGAAATAGTATGTCATACCGGAAAGGTAGACTATGAGAACTACCAGTCAGGGATAAGAAATCAGAAACAGATTAATCATGTAAATGTATTGAAGCCATGGAACCTGTTTATAAATCCCGTACAGCAGGAGGCACATTTATGGCCCAAAGCCACGGTCTTGGACTATTCCATGTCTGTGTGCACGGGGGGGAATTTACATTTAAATTTAAATTAATGTAAATGAAAAGCACAGGTAGCTCAATTGATAGCGATATAGGGCTGTATTTTTGAGGAGGTTGAGAATGATAGAATTCGTGGTGGCCAACGAACCAGGGTGATGGTGAAATCCTGTCCTTGCCTGATACCGGAGGCACGGAAGGGCACGGGGAGGAAGGAGCTACCAGGTAGGCTGCTGCTGAGCGTTATCGAGGAGACCAAAAGTCTAACCCGATTGTGTTCAAACCGAAGGGAACCAATCAATATTGCATCGACTTTAGGAAAGTCAAACCAATTTCTAAATCCGCTGCCTAACAAATGAGTTGTCGGACTGATTGGGAGTCACCAAATCCATTTCAACTATGAAATTGTCCAAAGTCAAATTCCTTTGGGAGAGAATTTGAAAGAAAACACTGTGGTTGCCACCCCGTTTGGGCCTCACCACTTCACTACATTGCCTTTCGGACTTCCAAGGAGCTTCCAGCGCCTTATAGACAGACCGGTGTCTCAACAACGTGATAAGGCGCTATATCAAATACAAGAATTATTATTATAATTATTTATAAGGTGACGTGGGGTGGGGGGAGAAGGAGATTAGATGGCATTTTTTCATTCAGAGGCTCCTCAGGGCTTGTAACTGAGGCCAGGTTAATGGAATTAATCCAGAAGGAACTGGGTAAGTAGCTAAACAGTAAAGCTCTTAGGAGATGAGAGAAGAGAGCTGAAATATAGGATTAAATAAAAGGCGCACAATGAGCTGAATGGCCTGCTTCTGTGCAGAACATTTTCATGTTTTAAAATCTAAAACATCACTGCAATTAAGAGGAAATATGTGTGTAGGCAAGAGAGGAGTAGAGAGGTAGGTGTGGGGTGGAGGGGGCAGCTCCTGAGAAAGCATTAGGAGGGTTGGAGACTCGTGTCTTGTGTTGATTTGCTTGATGTTGTGACCGATCCCATGAATTCCTCTCCACCGCTTTGTTCCAAGGCAGGGCCGAGAGAGATGGAGCAGGAGAAGGGGTCACACTACAAGAAGCCCAGCAATGGGGTGGAGAACGCAGCGTTTGAGATCTCAGTGAGTATTGGGAGACGTCTTGTTTTGCAATTAATCTGGCCCTTAGGCAGAAAGCCGCGCTGGGCCGGGCCAGATCAGATCCTTCACCTCTCTGTCTCTCTCCAGGAGGACCCTGCTGGGCACGCCTCAAAGGACCCATATTCACACGACTCACCGCCTCTCTCTTCCTGGAAGAAAAAGAAGCCCAAGTTTGTGAGGTAGGAATGTGAGGAGATACCAATCACCAGACACCCACCCGGCACAGGCACAGACACTCAATCACTCTGTCATTACACTGTGTCAAGCATCAAGTTCTGGATGAGAGCTAACTTTCTCCAGTTAAATGTCTAAAGACCGAGGCTCTCCTGCTTGGTTCCCGTCAGCATCTCCACACCTCAGGCGCTGACAGCATCACTGTTCATGGATGCACTTTCCAGTACAGAACTTCAGTGTCTTGTTCAATTTCCAACTGTCCTTTATACCCCACATCCATGCCTTGACCAGCACTGCTTTCCCCCACCTCCGCAACATTGCCAGCCTCCGCCACTGCCTCTCCCCTCAGGACGCTGAATCCCTCATCCATTCATTCATCACGCTTGTCTATCCCCCAGTGGGTAGAGTTCAAGATCATCCTTACTTTTTAATTCCCTCTACAGTATTGCCCCACCCTACCTCGGTGCCTTATTAAACCCTACAAACCTGTCCACTCCCTTGACTCAGTGGGCACTAGTCTGCTCCACATCCTCCGCACTACCTGCTCCACTATTCGCAGTCGGGCCTTTCTGCCCCCACCCTCTGGAACGCCATCCCGGAGCCCCTTCGCCTTACCCCCTCCCTTGCCTCCTTCAAGGCCCGTCTTAAGACTCTCCTCTTTGACCATGACTTCAGCCAGTCTCCCATCCCCACCCTTTGGCCCCCACCCCTCCTGCATCCAACCGTCAGTTCAAGTGCAAACTGTCAACTGTCCAGCGCCTTGGGACATCCTCCCAACATGAAAGACACTGTATAAATGCAATTTGTTGTTGTTTTACCACAAGATACTGCATCTATACACAGTACAGAAATCTGCATTAAATCACACTGTGATCTTGTGAGCAGATAATCGGTTTAAGAGATTATAAATTGAATTTAATGATTACTGTTCTGAATAGAGGAATGCTGGCAAAGAGAGAGAGAGAGTGAATGAGAGAGAGAGAGAAAGAGCAAAAGAGAGAAAGAAAGAGCAAGACAGAGCACAAGAAAAAGAATGAGAGCAGGAAAGAAAGAGGAAGAAGGAGAGAGAGAGCAAGAGACAGAAAGAGTGAGAAAAAGCAAGAAGGAGAAAGAGAGCAAGAAAGAGAGTGAGGGGGGTAGCGAGAGAGATATCATAAGTGAGAGAGAGAGAGAGAGACAGCAACAGAATGAGAGAAAGCGACAGAGAAAGAGAGAGCGAGAGGGACAGCGAGAGAGATATAATGAGGAAGAGAGTGAAAGAGAAGGAAAGCAAGAGAGAAAGAGAGTGAGAGGGACAGTGAGAGGGAGAGAGATAATGAGTGAGAGAGTGAGAGAGCGAGAGAGAGCAAAATAGAGAGAGAGAGAGAGAGAGAGAGAGAGAGAGAGTGAGTGAATGATTTTCACGCAGCGAGTTGTTGGGATCTGGAATGCATTGCCTGAAAGGGTGGGGGAAGCCAATTCGATAATAACTTTTAAGAGAAGTAGATAATTATTTGGGGAGGACAAGTTTGCAGGGCTGTGGGGAGGGAGCGGGGAATGGGATTGATTTGGAAGCTCTTTTCAAGAGAGGCACAGACACGATGGGCCGAATGGCCTCCTTCTGTGCTGTATAATTCTATGAATCTATGAGTGAGAAGGCGAGACGGACAGACCGACCGACTGACCGACCGACCAACCGACCGACCAGTGTTGAGAAGAGTGTGGGCCAACACCCTGGGGGACACTGGACGATGATTTAGGGAATGATGGCAGTAAAGTCACTGACCCTGAGGTAAAATGTTGTATTTTCTGTTCACAGACACATGTCTCAGAATATCAAAGGAGCAAAGTTGTTCTATGAAAGCCACTCCACTGTATTCAAACGCGTTGTCCTGGGTATCCTGCTGGCAGGTAAAGCACAACGAGGTGCCCAGAGGGACTGAGTGGCGATCGGTCCTTCAGTTTGTCTTTTGGAACTCTACCCCTAAGCCCTCCGGCTCCACTGGCTTCCCACCCCCAGAGGACTGTGTTTAAGATCCACATCCTCACTTTCAAAGCCTCCTCCATGGGTTGCTCCTCCTTACTTCTGCAACCTATACACCCTCCCACCCTGTCCGCTCCCTCTGTTCGGCAGGCACTGGCCTGCTCTACGTCCCCCGCCCTGCCTGCGACACCATCAGCTGTCAGGCCTTCAACCTTTCTGCCCCCACCCTCTGGATCTCCGTCCTGGGGCACCTCTGCAAGCGAGAGACCTGGGTTTGATTCCCGGGCAGTGCAAAACATTGGGCAAGTTTCCTTACTCCTCTGTTTACCAGCAGTAAGTAGGATTGTTAATCAATTGCCGGGTCACTTTTCTGGGGGTAATAATCCCTTCAAAATAAATAAAAAATTATTTGGTCACTCAATCCGCAATCGGCTGCCGCATTTCACCCACAAAAACACATAGTCAATTCACTTTACAGTATATTCTGTGAAGCGCTTTGAGATGTCTCGAAGACGTGATAAGGCACTGTATCAAATGCAAGGATTATTATTATAATTATATTAGTATAACTATCCACTTCCTGTCTCTCTCCACGGCAGGTTTCGTCGCGTTTCTCATCACCGCCTGTGTGATGAGCTTCCAGCGAGCTCTCGCCCTCTTTGTGATGACCTGTTTGGTTTTGGTTATCAAAATTTATGAGCTCATCAAAAAGCTGTGGGGCAAACGCATAGTCAGACTCTTCCAGCCTGTGTCTAAGGTTTTCAAGAATAACTCCAAATGGCTTCAATGGTAAGTCACGTTACAAATCAGTGCTGCTCACAGACACACTGTCACTCACTCAACAGCTTAACCTCTAGGAACCTCTTCCTTAGGGCGTATTTCATTGTTGGAAGATCAACATCAAACCCCCCATCAGTGCCATGACCCGCTCTGCCTTCCCCCATCTCCGCAACATCGCCCGACTCTGCCACTGCCTCTCCCCCTCAGGCTGCCGAGACCCTCATCCAAGCTTTCATTGCATCCAGGCTTGACTACGCCAACTCGCTGCTTGTCAACCTTCCCAACTCCTCCTTCCACAAGATGCAGAATATTCAGAACTCTGCAGCTCATGTCCTTTCCCGCACGAGGCTCTGTGATCCTGTCAGCCCCATCCTCTCCCGGCTCCACCAGAGGATTGTCCCAATGCCTTGGGACAATCCTGACATGAAAGGCACTATATATCAATATACTATCAATACAATTTGTTGTTGTGTGGGAGACAATCCAGTCTCAAAATTTACATGTGAAAATTGGGAAAATTTCTTCAAACTAGTGGGAATTGGAATGCCATATTTTCCCACAGTCCCTTAAAAAGAAACCGGCTTCCAAATCCAGGCTACATTTAAGTCTTTCAGTTTTTATGCTGTTGATCGCGACAACGATAAGATGAAAGCTCAGGCCTGTGTGTGTGTGTGTGTGTGTGTGTGTGTGTGGGTGTGTGGCAGGATCTTTGCCTTGTTGGCGTTGGGAGGCCTTGTGGCTTGGCTCGCGATCGACACAGCGAAAAGGCCGGAGCAGCTCATCTCCTTCGGTGGTTTGTGCATGTTCATCATCATCCTCTTCGTTTTCTCCAGTCACCCTGGACAGGTAACTGGCCCCCACTTGACCCTCCGCTAATCCCCCACACCCACCCCCAGCCTCCGCTAATATTTTGCTGAATTGTGGAAAAATTTCATCTTTTATATTAATTTGAAAAGAGCTTCAGTTTAGTGAGTGTGTAACTGGCTTCGAATTCAATTTAACAATTCAACATAATCTTCAATTTCAAGATCTGGGACTGGGTGGGATTTCGGGTGGGGGAGGTGGGGGGGTTGGGGCATGCTGTCTAATGAGATTCGGATCACATCGTCTCCGTGGTTCATCACTTGTGTTAATTATCACCTCAGGTACCACAAACCTGCCCCACCTCCCACGCATGTGTTAGACGGTGAATGGTCGTGAGAATTCCAAGTTAGAAGGTTGTAGGTTCAAGCCCCACATTGGGACTTGTGATCGTATGGTCTGAGCTGACACTCCAATATAGTACTGGGGGGGTTGTGTTGCATTGTCGGAGGTGCCGTTCTTCAGATGGACGTTAAACTAAGGCCCCGTCTGCCTGTTCAGGTGAATGTTAAAGATCCCATAGAACGATTGGAAAAGAGAAGGGAGTTTCTCTCTCCTGGTCTCCTGGCCAACAATCCCCCAAATAGAATTGGTCACTCACTCCATGGATGATTGTGGGACACTACTGTGTGCAACTGACTGCCACATTCTGCCCACAAAAGCCACAGTCACTACACTTTACAGAATATCCTGTAAGGCGCTTTGAAACATATCGATGATGTGATGAGGCGCTATATCAAATGCAAGGATTATTATTATGTTCTTATAAGCTGCCGCTTCCCATCCAGGTGTCGTGGAGGGCAGTGGGCTGGGGGCTGGGCTTACAGTTCTGTCTCGGCCTCTTCATCATCAGAACAGAACCTGGATTTGCAGCATTTGACTGGCTGGGCCTCCAGATTCAGGTACAACTCTGAGAGAGAGTGAGAGGACATCCTCCAGCTGAGATAATTCAACACAGTGATAAACAGCTGTATCACTGACAAATACAATAACATTTACACAGCGCCCTTCACACAAGACAGTGTATCGAGGCGCTGCACAGTGGTGGGTTGGACACCGAGCAACAGAGAAGGGGGAGGGAGAGTGGACCAGAAGGAAGGCGGACAGTCAAGGAAGTAGGTCTTAAATGGGGTTTAAAGGTAAATAAAGAGCGGTCGAGCAAGTCGGAGGGATTTGGAGGCAGGGAGGTCCAGAGGTTAGGGGGATGAAGGCACAGCCACGATGGTGACACAGGATCAGAGTTACACAGCAAGCCTGAGTTAGCTGAGTGAAAAAGGTCAGGGGGCAGGGGAGTGGGGTACGGGCAGGTCAGAGAAGTAGAAAGGTGCTGGGGCGTGAAGGGGTTTGTAGGTGAGGGTCAGAGACTGGGAGCCAGTGGAACATGGCGAGATCCAAATATTATCTCAAGATGTGAATTTAATTCCATCTTGGAAATTCACAAGATTGGTCTGGGTGAAGAAGTTTCTTCGTCCCAACCAACTTGATCCCTCCACAACACCCACCCTACAGGCCCATTGACCAGCAGTGTATTACCAAGGCTGGAAACAACAAGAACAACAAAAAATTACATTTGCAAAGAACCTTCACGTCAGGAGGATGTCCTAAGGCGCTGGACAGCGATCCGCACCCACTTACAGCATCTTATCTTACCTGATGTCAATCTTTATCTCCTTTGCAGATATTTCTGGATTACACAAAAGCGGGGTCAGGCTTTGTGTTCGGAGAAGCCCTGATAGCTGACGTGTTTGCTTTCCAGGTCAGTCCTTTTCCCCCTTTATATTGCAGCGAACCTATCCTTCTTGAGCATCGTGCAGTGCTGGAGTAACACAGGAGAGAAATCCCACCTGGGTCTAAGTCACATTTCAGAGCGACCTTGGGGGTCTCCTTGGAGCTAAACTGGCTCCAAGGTTATACGCCTGGCTACAGAATGTCAGGATCGAGCCAGCACTCTGTGACCGTCTCTAGTACGGTTCCTGAGTCAGGCGGGTTCACAGTATTCCAGGGTACAGCCAGTCTGACTCTTCAGCAGGACCTGGCAGGATAGACCAGTCACTGGGGGCAGGGAGTCCTCCCACTCAGCTTCTGTTAGCCCTGCAGCTAAAGCTCTAACGGGTAGGATGATCCTCGTTGGACAAGCAGTGAGAAAGCTTGGCGGACAGCGATATCAATGGCAAGCTTTGAGGTTTTAGCTGGTTAGAATCCAGCAGTTATCCAAACACACACTCTGGGGTCGCCCCGCGCCTTGGCACTTGCCAACCTGCGCCTAATACTCTCCGGAATTAGGTAAACAGGATATATCCCTCCATGGAGAGAGAGAGAGAGAGAGAGAGAGAGAGAGCATTCCATTTCTAACAATCTATCTCTGAGATTTCCATGTGTAAGTGGGATGCACGGAATTCTCAGTTTGGTTTGGAGACTCTTAAGCCACGGTGATAGATTTCCACATGTGTCAGACACCCGGCTGACCTCCCTCACCAATTGTTATTTTTCAGCAAATTGTTGAATTCAGCCTTAACTCTGAAGCCACAGTTTCTTCAAAGAAACTTACAGAAAAATACGACTTCACATTAAGGCTGTGTTTAAGAAGTTCCCAAATTCTGGCAACTCTGAAATGTGATGTAAACAGAGTAAATCTGGACCAGGGGATGGGGGTGTGGAGGTATTTCACCGGAGTATGTTGGTGGAGATTAGTTTGTAAAACTAGGTGGAACTTCAAAGCTGAATGCCTTGAGGGCAAACTAGCGAAGAACATAAAGACAGACTGCAAGAGTTTTTATAAATATATAAAGAGGAAGAGGCTGTCAAAGGTAAAGATCCATTAGAGGCAGAGACGGGGGGAATTATAGTAGGGGACAAAGACATGGCAGAGTCATTAAACAAGTACTTTGCTACTGTCTTCACCTTAGAGGACATTGAAAACCTACCAAGAATAGAGGGGAACCAAGAAGACAATGTTAGCGAGAAACTTGGGGGAATTAATATTAGTAAAGAAATGTTTTTAGGTAAATTGTCAGGTCTTAAAACTGATAAACCCCCTGGACCTGATGGCCTACATCCGAGGGTTTTAAAAGAGGTGGCTACTGAGATACTGGATGGCTTGTGTTTGATCTTCCAAAATTCTCTGGATTCTGGAACGGTTCCCATTGATTGGAAGATTGCAAACATAACACCACTATTTAAGAGGGTGGGGAAAAGATGGGGAACTATAGACCAGTTAGTCTGACATCAGTGGGACGGAAAATTCTTGAGTCCTTAATTAAAGATGTCGTTATGGGATTCCTGGAAAGAGTGGTCAGTGTGTAGGTAACAGTGAAACAGGTCTCAGACACAATACACTGCCAATAAAAAACCGAAGTCGCTGGTAACCCTCAGCAGGTCGGACAGCATCTATGGAGAGAGGAAAATGGATTAATGTTTCAGGTCGATGATCTTCCATCAGAAAGGTGACCGTTCTGACAAAAGCTCATGGACCTGAAACGTTGACCCACTTTGCTCTCTTTATAGATGCTGCCTGACCTGCTGAGTGTTACCAGCGACTTCGGTTTTTATTTCAGATTTTATTTCAGCACCTGTAGTATTTTGCCATTTGTACACTTGCCAATCTCTGCCTGTCTTCACTCATGTTCCATTGCTCTCCCCACACACAGGCTTTACCAATAGTTATCTTCTTCAGCTGTGTGATGTCCATCCTCTATTACCTTGGTCTGATGCAGTGGCTGATTCTTAAGGTAAAATGGGTTGCTTTCCTCATACATTTACATAGTTGCATTAAGAATAATCCTTGCATTTGATATAGTGTGCTTTATCACGTCTTCGAGACGTCTCAAAGTGCTTCACAGCATGTACTGTAAAGTGAACTGACTATATTTTGTGGGCGAAACATGGCAGCCAATTGCGCACAGCAGTGTTCCACAAACAGTCGTGGATTGAGTGACCAAATTATTATTTGTTTATTTTTTTTTGGAAGGGATGATTAGCCCCGGAGAAGCGATCCGCCAATCGACTAAAGATCGATTGTTAGCGAGAAGTTAGCGAAAAGAGGAAACTCCACTCTCCCATGATGTTTAATCTTGCTGCTTTCATAAGAAACTACGGACAACAGTCGGCCATTTGACCTATCGAGTCTGATCCTCTAAGGCTGATCTGTCACGTAACCTTATTTCCCTGCCCTCTCACACTATCACCCGGACAACCCTACCCATCAAATATTCATCCATCTTCCTCTTACAGTTGACCTGGTCACCTTTAGGGGAGTGAATTCCTCATTTCTACAAACCTTTGTATGAAAAAAAATGTTTCTTATTTCACTCTGTTCTGGTTTAGCTCTAAGTTTAAGATGACAGAGAAGAAATGTTCCCCCCCCCCCTCTCTCTCTATCTCTCCCAGCGCCTTGGGACGTCCTCCTAACGTGAAAGGCGCTTTATAAATGGAATCTTGTTGTTGTTGTTGTTGCTATCTTATCAATTCTCCTGGTTTCTTGGCCAGCAATCCTCCAATAAAAAAATAATTGGTCATTTGCTTTGGGGTTTGTTCTTTGGCAGCAATTGACTGCCATGTTTGTCTCTCCCTTGCTCAGCATCAAAATAAATCACAGCTCCGAGAAGCTACCCCACATGAAGGACACTATATGCTCTATATATAGCAATTCTAGACATCTCACCAACATGATAATGCACTGTACCAAGTGCAAGGGTTATTATTATGTCGATAAAATGGGTCAATCACTTCACGGTTGTTTGTGGGATGTGGCTGTGTGCAAGTTAACTGCTGTGCTCGCCCACAAAATATTCCACTTTGCAGTGAATTCCGCTTTGGGATGTCCTGCGACGTGAAAGCCAAAATTCGAGTACAAGGATTATTCTTCTAGCTATTGTGATTTTGCTGTTTGAATTGAAATGTTGCAGTGCTATTTCTTGCACGAGGTTGATTGACAAAATCCAGTTAATCCAGAATTCTCACCAGGACTAAACTACGTACCCCCATCACACCAGTCCTCACCAGGCCCCATGGCTCCCTCTCACCACACAGATTGATTTCAACAACCTCACACTCGTCTTCAAATCCTTTCATGCCCAGGCACCTCCCTACCTCTCCACACTCCACCACCCGCTGCCTCTGCTCAACTTGGAGTCCTGTAGCTCAGTGGTTAGAGCACTCGCTTTGCAAGCGAGAGACCTGAGTTCAATTCCAGGCAGCGGGAAACCTTGGGCAAGTTTCCTTACTCCACACACCTAATAATAATCCCTCCAAAACCAAAAACAATAATAAATTGGTCATTTTCAATCTACGACTGTTTGTGGGACATTGCTGTGCGCAATTGGCTGCCGCGTTCGCCCACAAATATACAGTCAATTCACTTTACAGTGTGTTCTGTGAAGCGCTTTGGGACGTCCTCCTGACGTGAAAAGCACTATATCAAATGCAAGGATTATTATTATTATTATTATTATTTTGCACCAGCCACCTGCATATCCTTCCTGCCCTCCGTTCCGCCATTGGTGGTTGCGCTTTCACCAGATCTGCTCAGTGTTAGCCCTGAAACTCTGGAAAACTCTTCCACTATCCCCCTGCCTTGCCACTTCTTTCCCCACCTTCAGGTCGCTTCTGAAGACCTTCTTGATCGACCGTGTCTACGATCACCTCCCCCCTCCCCACTCGTGCTCCACCACTGTCAAGCGCTCTGGAACGTTGCCCTGCATGAGGGGCGCTGTGTAAATGCAAGTTGTTATTGTTGCCTGTCCGACCTGTCTCTCTCCACCTTTCCTCAGATCGCGTGGCTGATGCAAATAACAATGGGCACCGCGCCCACCGAGTCACTCAGTGTCGCTGGCAACATATTTGTGGGTCAGGTGAGCAAACATGGCAAAGGCTGCTTTCTGCCCTCGGGCCACACAATAACTCATTGTATTTATTGATCCTTACCCTCCTGTTGGGTTGAGGAGAAACGTCAGATAATTCACATCAATGAAGCCAGTGGAACTGCTCAGCACATGCGTGATTCTTCCCCCTCACCACACGCATGTCTCCCCTCTCACCACACGCATGTCTCCCCTCTCACCACATATATGTCTCCCCTTTCACCAGACAGGTGAATCTCTCCTCTCACCTCAACAACAGTCCAGATTCTCAGGGTTATTATTCCGCATGACAACCATCCTCCTTGCACCAAGCGGAGAGACTTGCCTGCAGAGGTCATGCTTTTCTGTCAACCCCACAGGGTTCACCCACTCTAATCCCCATCCCACCTCCATGAGCTGTTGTATGGTGGCTTCAAACTACAGGAGGACAGAGGGAATTCTATCCGCAGTGATTTAGCGGGAGAAGAACAAAGAGTTCTGCACTGCCAGATGTGCTGTCCTTCAGATGAGACATTAAATTGAGGTCCTGTTTGCCTGTTCAGGTGGACATTAAAGATCCCGCGGAATTATTCAAAAAGAGAGGGAATTTCTCTCTCCTGGTGTCCTGGCTGACAATCCTTCAAACAAAATTGGTTACTCACTCCATGGCTGATTTGGGGACGCACAGAAATGTCTTACAAACAGCCATGGAGTGAGTGACCAATTTTATTTGGGGGATTCTTGCCCAGGAATACAACCAGGCAAGACTTTGGCCTAGCAACCTTCTAACCCAGAACCAGGCTGACACTTTCTGCGTTTGATCTGATAGACGGAGGCTCCACTTCTGATCCGACCTTATCTGCCCGAAATGACAAAGTCCGAAATTCACGCTGTGATGACCGGAGGTTACGCCACGATTGCGGGCAGCGTGCTCGGAGCGTACATCTCCTTTGGGGTAAGTAAGTGCTGATCACCTTCAGGGCACATCGAGCTGGGAGGCTGCAGCTCAGTCAGTGGACCACAAGAACAGAGACATTAACAGGTCAGGAATCCGTTCAAATTTAAGCGTATCGCCAAACCCAGTGGTGGCCATTCATTTTCCATTGAGGCCGCACGTCAACAAAGATGCTGTGCGGAATGCCAAGAGGACTCTTACCCTCAAATGTTGGGATCTCTTTTAGGTGATGCATTACAATGTACAACGCCTTTCACGTCAGGAGGACATTTTAAGACGACAATTCTAGCTGAGGGGGGTTGAGGAAGGGGAAAGAGGAACCAAATCATGGTCAAAGAGGTACATTTTGAGGCATCCCTTGAAAGAGGGGAGGGAGGGAGGGAGGGAGGGAGAGAGGGAGAGAGAGAGAGAGAGAGGGGAAAGAAATCAGAGGGACCTGGCAACGGGGTTCCAGAGAGTGAGTGTCATGTTGAAAACCTGCCATCAATAGTAGGGTGGATGGAGTTGGCCGAGTGAAGGGAGCAGCTGAGTTGGGAAGAGGTCAAGCTGGTTGTAAAGGAGGGGAGAGACCGTGGGAGGCAGTTAAATGTGAGAACAAGGATCTTGAACTTGTAATGTGATGCAGGCTGTGTGTACCAGGTAACGCATGTCTCTATCGAGAGGGGAATAGGAGGGGTGGGGGCTCGTGCAGGCTATAGACACAAGCCATGGTGGAGCGGGCAAGGCAGGGAACATGGAGCAGGCCAGAGCCCGCCAAGTGGAGGGTGCGGACAGGTTGCCCAGTGAATGGTTTGGATGGTATTTTGCAGATCAGTGCGTCCGGATTGATCGCAGCCTCAGTGATGGCAGCACCATGTGCCCTCGCCCTGTCCAAACTCAGCTACCCCGAGGTCGAGGAGTCCAAGTTCATGACTGAGGAAGGAGTGAAAATAGATTGCGGGTGTGTGATGCTAACCTCGCTTCTGAAACCTCGCGATCAAAGTTTAATCCCTTCACTCCCTGGCACCTCCCTACTTCTCCAACTCCTCGCTCCCCAATCCACCACCCAGCGCCTCTGCTCGACTGGCACCGGCTTCTTGCTCATCCCTCGCACCCTCCCATCCACCATCAGAGGTCGCGCTTTCTGCCTCTACCCCCCGAAACCCTGGAACACTCTCCCTCAATCCCTCCACCTTGTCCCTCTCTCCCCTTTTTCAAGTCCTGCCTGAAGATCTTCCTCTTTGACCGTGCTTACGGCCACCTACCCCCTCACTCCCCCCTCCCCCGGCTCGGAGTCAGGCTCCCCAGCTGTTAAGCGCTCTGGAAGGCTACCCTGTGTGGAGGTCGCTATATAAATGCAAGTTGTTGCTGTTGATCGTCACTTGAATAGCAGTAAACTGTGGCGTCCCGGAGAGTAGTGGTTAGTGCACTCGTCTCGCAAACGATAGGACCCAGGTTTGATTCCCGGGCAGAGCGAATCCTTGGGTAAGTTTCCTTATTGCATACGCCTCTGTTTACCTAGCAGTAAATAGGAACCCTGTTGTTAGTCGTTTGGCAGATCGCTTTACGGGGGTGATAATAAATAATTAGTAATGAAAAAAATTGGTCACTCAATCCATGTCTGTTTGTGGGACACTGCTGTGCGTAATCACCTGCCGTGTTTCGCCCCCAAAATACACAGTCCATTCACTTCACGAAATATTCTGTGATGCGCTTTTAGATGTCTTAAACGATGCAATAAGGTGCTAAAGCATCCAAGGCTGCACTCTCCACCTCTCAAAGCCAGTCAGGAACCTCGGCGTTTTGTTCAACCCTGAGCTGTCCTTTCTCCCTCACATCCGCACCACAACTGGCACCGCCTTCCATCACCTCCGGAACATCGCCAGACTATGGCACTACCTCACCCCTCACGCGGCTGAAACCCTGGTCCACACCTTTGTCACCTCAAGGCTGGACTATGGGAACTCTCTCCTCGCCGGCCTTCCCGCCACCTCCCTCCACAAGCTGCAGGTCATTCAGAACTCTGCAGCTCGTGTACTGTCCCGCACCAGGCTTCGGGACCACATCACTCCCACCCTCGCCCTCACCCTCGCCCTCGCTCGCCTCCACTGGCTCCCCATCCCCCAGAGGATTGATTTCAAGATCCTCATCCTCACCTATAAGGCCATTCACGGCCTCGCTCCCTCCTACCTCTCCAACCTCCTATCCCCCTACCTACCTGCCCGTACCCTCCGTTCCTCTGGCTCTGGTCTGCTCCACATCCCCCGCCCCAACCGCCCTACCATCGGTGGCCGGGCCTTCAGCCTCTCAGCCCCGAGGCTCTGGAACTCTATCCCCCAGTGCCTTCGCCGCTTCCTCCCTCTCCTCCTTCAAGGCCGGTCTCAAAACCTTTCTCTTTGACCGAGCCTTCAGCTCCCCTCTCGACTCTCTTCCCCCTCCTCGCTCCCTCCCTTCCCTCCCCTCACCCTGACCATTTCTCCCCTCCTCGGGTCATGATCCGGCTGTGCAGCGCCTTGGGACGTCCTCCTGACGTGAAAGGCGCTTTATAAATGGAATCTTGTTGTTGTTGTTGTAAATCAAACGCCAGGATTATTATTATTAAACTCCTGATAACACTAGTGGTCACCAACATCATTAAATCATTATGCTGTCAATATCCCAGCTCCATTTATTCATATACAGTGTATTTATACGTATCGCCTTTCCTGGTAACTGGTCACTGAGCCCTCTTCCCTGGGAAGTGTAGCATATCTCAGAAAAATATGCTGCACAGTGAGTGTGTTGGTGCACTGCCCTTTCACCTCCATCCTGTGGGCACCAAGGTTACCAGACTTGGCTTTACTGATGGTGCGATCAAGAACAGTTGCATCATCAGCGGAGGGGGTGACCATCCACTTATTTCATTTTCAGGTGCATTTTCATTCAGGTTCTATAGTTTCCCCACCCCACCCCCCACCCCCACCATCACCTATTGTCACCCCATTCTCATATTAACATAGGAATTACTGGACAAAAAAAATCATGATATCTACCCTATTATTCAAAAAAAATCATCATTTCTTTAAGACTTATTTGACATTGTAATGGTATCAAAACTTTACAGTCACCTTCTGCCATCCTGGTCGTCACATACTACAATATTGGAGATGTTGATAGCAATTAATTCTGTATGGATTAGTTGACAGCAGAATGGGAAGCTTTGGGAACCTTAGATCCACAGTTGCCTGGTTCTTCCAAGCCATACTACACTTACTATATGTAATTACTCATATTACTGTATCCCAAAATATTATTCTCTGAAAGAAATCTATTTGATTTGTGTTTGAATGAATCATCACTTTCTCACAGTGTGTTTTCTCTATTGTTTTCAATGAATTCCCCTCAGAGACGCACAGAACATTCTGGAAGCTGCAAGTAATGGTGCCTCAGACTCCATTTGCCTGGTGGCTAACATTGCCGCCAACCTCATCGCCTTTTTAGCCATTCTGGAGTTTTTGAATGCTGGGCTCTCCTGGATCGGTGGCATGGTGGACTACCCAGAACTTACCTTTGAGGTACAGTTATTCTCAAACACAGCTTTGCTGATCAACCTCCGATCCTTACCCCGAGACACCCACTCCATCAGCTAAAGCACCAGAACCCACCGTGTCTGACACGTGCGGAAACCCATCACCAACCTCAAGAGTCTCCAAACCAAGCTGAGATTTCCATGCATCCCACCTACACATGGAAATCCCAGAGATAGATTGCAGCAATGGAATGCGCTCTCTCTCTCCCTGGAGGGATGCATCCTGCTTACCTAATCGCAGGAAGTATTAGGCGTAGGTTGGCAAGAGCCAAGGTTTGGGGACCCCAGAGTGTGAGTTGGGGTAACTACTGGAGTCTAACCAGCTAAAACTGCATAACTTGCCATTGTCCAGCTCAGACCACCCTACTGGTTAGGGCTTTGGCTTGCAGGATTATCAGGAGCAATTGAGACACAGGTAACTGTAATTCAGATTTCATTTAGATCCTGTTCATCAGTCCAGAATACTCAACGACCCTTCTCCCATTATAGCGTTAAGCGTTTTCTTCAATCCAGAGTCGAGTCGAGCTTCTACCCCATTTCAGCTAACATGTGGGTGTATCGTGTGTTAGCCTGGCTCAGTCAGTAGCATGTTTGTCTCTCAGTCAAAGGCTTTTAGGGTCAAGTCCCATGTCGGGACTTTGAACTCATACAGACTAAACTAACATTCCAGTGTGGTGCTGGGGGAATGCTGCATTGTTGGAGATTCCACCCTTCTGATGTGACATTACACTGAGGTCCCGTGTGCCTGTTCAGGTGGATGTTCGTCTACAAAATACACGATCACTCCACTCTACAGAGAATGGTTTTGAGACATTTCGATGATGCAATAAAGTGCTGTATCGAAATGCAAAGGATTCGATTCATAGAATATTACAGTACAAAAGGAGGCCATTCGGCCCACCATGCCTGTACCGGCTCTTTGAAAGAGCTACTAAATTGTCCCACTCCCCCGCTCTTTCCCCGCAGCCTTTCAAATTTTTCCTTTTCAAGTATATATCCAATTCCCTTTCGAAAGTTATTATTAAATTTGCTTCCATCACCCTTTCAGGCTTTATTGCAAAGTGCAGGCAATAATTTGTTTTATAGTTTAGTGGTTAGAGCACTCACCTCCCAGGCGAGAGGACTCTGGTTCGATTCCCAGACAGGGCGAAACCTTAGACGAGTTTCCTTACTCCACGCACCTCTGTTTGCCTAACAGTAAGTAGGAACCCGGTTGTTATTCGATTGTCAGATCGCTTTTCCAGGGGTAATATTCTCTTCAAAATAATAATAATAATCCAGTCACTCAATTCTCGACTGTTTGTGGGACGCTGCTGTGCGCAATTGGCTTCCACATTTCACCCAGAAAATATACAGTCAATTCACTTTACAGTATATTCCGTGAAGCACTTTGAGACGTCTCGACGACGTGATAAGGCGCTGTATCAAATGCAACGATTATTATTATTATTATTATTATTGTTAAGTGATGTGTTGAGCTTTGCTCCTGGGACTTTTCCACAGCTCATCTGCTCTTACATCTTCATGCCCATCGCCTTCATGATGGGTGCCGAGTGGAAAGATGCCTCTGTCATGGCGGAGCTGATCGGCGTCAAGCTCTTTCTGAACGAGTTTGTGGCTTTTAAGAGGCTCTCTCTATACCAGGAGAACCGTCTGAACGGTCTAGAGGAATACCTCAATGGGAAAAAGCAGTGGATCACTGTGAGTACACAGCCTGTGTCTGTCAAGTTTGTCACACCGTATGTGCCTTCCAACTTGTCAGCCTGGCGCAGTGATAGCGCTCTCGCTTCCGAGTCAGAAGGTTGTGGATTCAAGCTCCACGTTGGGACTTGGAATCACATAGTCTAAGATGTGACTCCAATGCAGCGCTGGGAGGGTGTGGCATTGTCGCAGGTGCCGTCCTTTGGATGACATGTTAAATCGAGGTTCTGTCTGCCTGTTCAGGTGGATGTTAAAGATCTAATGGCACTAGAAAAGAGAAATGAGTTTCTCTTTCCCGGTGTCCTGGCCAACAATGTCCCATATAAAATTGGCCACTCACTCCATGGCTGTTTGTGGGACACTGCTGTGTGCACTTGTGTGCTGCATTTTGCTCACAAAATACAGTCAATCCACTTTGCAGTATATCCTGTGAATTGCTTTGAGACGTCTCAATGATGTGATAAGGCGGTATATCAAATGCATGGAATATTATTATTAACTTCTAGGTGTCAGCCTGGCTCAGTCAGTATCACTCTTGCCTTGGAGTCAGAAAGTTGTGGGTTCAAGCCCCACTTCTGCTGTATTTCACCCACCCACAAATAACAGTCACTGCACTCTACAGTAATTCCTGTGAAGCATTTGAGACATCATGACGGCTTTAATGTAAATGATGTTACAAGGCCCAGAGGTAGACATTTACTCCAGGGTTGGTGATGGATGAGAATCAATCGAGAACTATCTTTTTCTCCTTGTAGCCCAGAACAGAAACGATCGCTACGTACGCTCTCTGTGGCTTTGCTAACTTCAGCTCCATTGGCATCATGCTCGGAGGCCTCTGTAAGTAACTAACGTTCGGCAAGAGCTGCTGATAGGTGAGAGGGCAGGGAGGGTGGGGGTAGGAGAGTGACCGAAGGCACAATCAAAGAGGAGGGTTTTGAGACGGGCCTCGAAGGAAGCAGTTTGTTTTATTTTTTTGTTAGTCAGCCAGGACACACACGTTCTGACACACAGGGAAACCTAACACAGTGCTTAAAAGAATCCAAACCAAACTGAGATTTCCATGCAAATCTCCTACACCTGAGAATCCCAGAGATAGCTTGTTCAAATGGAATGCGCACTCTCTCCTTGGAGGGATGCATCCTGCTTACCTAATTCTGGAAATTATTAGGCACTGGTTGACAAGATCCAAGACTTTGCGACCCCAGAATGTATGTTGGGGTAACTACTGGAGTCTAACTAGCTAAAACTGCATGGCTTGCCATGGATATTGCTGTCCAGCAAGCTTTCCCGCTGCTTGCTGCTTGTCCAACTATGACCACCTGACCCATTCAGGCTTTGGCTTGTAATGTAACAGGAGTTGAGTTGGAGGATTGACTGTCCCAAGTGACTTGTCTACCCTCCAGGTCCTGCAGATGAACCAGGGTGGCTGTGCCATCAAGACATAAGACTGTCCTGTCTAGCTCCAAGACACACAGGGCTCACGGTCATAGTGAGGTGGTTTAAGGGATGTGGACAAGAGCTGTGGAAATTATTAAATTATTATATTTGAACGCTAAAGATCCCATGGCCCTATTCAAAAAGAGAAGGGAGTTTCTCTCTCTTTCTCTCTTCCAATCCCCTAGGTAAAATTGGTCACTCACTACACAGCTGTGTGCAACTGGCTGCCGCATTTTGCCCACAAAATGCACCTTACAATGCATCCTGTGAGGTGCTTTGAGATCTCTCAATGACATGATAAAGCACTTCATCAAATGTAAGGATTCTTCCTATTACTGTTGTTATCAATATTGTGGAATGGGTTTGATGGGGGTTGAAAGTCCTCAGCTTAGTTAATATGTCTCTTTCACTCTCTCCCCCCCTCTCTCTCTCTCACTCTCCATGGGCACAGCCTCCATGGCTCCACAACGCAAGGGTGACATGGCACAGTTGGTCATTCGCGCCCTCTTCACAGGAACCTGCACATCTTTGCTAAATGCGTGTGTAGCAGGTACGTTGAGTGATACATGCATTGTCAGTCTGGTTCACTGGTAGTGCTCTCACCAATGCACGGCACTATTCAAAAAGAGAAGGCAGTTTCACTCACCCGGTGTCCTGGCCAACAATCTCCCAGATAAATTTGGTCACTCACTCCATGGCTGTTTGTGAGACATTCTTGTTTACAAATTAGCTACTGCTTTCACCTACAAAATGCAGGCACTACATTTTACAATGAATCTTGTGAAGTGCTTTGAGACGCTTCCCTGCTGTGAGAAGTCGCTGTATTAAACGTAAACTGATTAAAAATCTAAACCGAGCTCCTCCTCGTGTCCTTGTGTGTGTGTGTGGGCGAGTCAAACATCCTGGAAAGCCTACGAACAGCATTCCCACTCACCGGTCTCGTTCTCTCTCACGTCAGGAATTCTCTACGTGCCTCGGGGGTCTGTGGACTGTGTCTCCTTCCTCAATGGCAGCCTGTTCAACACTGCCAGCAGTGAGCTGTTTGGGTGCTGTCAGGATCTCTTCAGCAGGTCAGTGTATCTCCTCCCTATTCTTTATTCACACAGCTGCGGTTTTAGCAAATCAACTCACACAGGGGTACGGGTTCACAACGCTGCATTTCATTTCCCTAACAGACTGGGAGGGGGAGAAATTCCACACGGACCTAGACTTACTCTTGTAACATGGCGGCCCACCACAGTCAGTGTTGAGATACCGACGTTTTTTTGAAGGAATTATTACCCCTTGAAAAGCAATCCGCCATTCCACTAACAAACAGGTTCCTACTGCTAGTTGGGCAGAGGCGAGTGGAGTAAGGAAACTTGCCCAACGTTTCACCCTGCCCAGGGATCGAACCCAGGTCCTCTCGCTTGTGAGGCGAGAGCTCTAACCATTGAGCTCCAGGACAGCACCTTATTTACACCAACATTCTTCAAATCTGACAGTCTCTCTCTCACTCTCTCTCTCTCTCCACAGTGCGGTGAGCACTGGGAACGGCACCTGGTCTTTCGATGGGCAATGGAACACTGTAGCGGAGAGCCCCAAGTTTATGACTAATTGCTGTGGCTTGTACAACAATACTGTATGTTTTCAGTAAACACAGGACTGTTCTTACCCGTTCTTGTAAATAAGACAGAATGAACTGGCGAACATTTACTTCAGAAAGAATAACAGGACCCGAATCAGTGGCCCGAAATTTTTCACCATGTCAGCCTTGAGACCATTTCCTTCCAGTTTGTACAGAAGTGGAAAGTTCCAGCCCTAACGTGGGAGCCATGATTTCCACACTTCTTGAAAAACAGTTTCCAGATTAACAATGACTTTAGGAATATAGGAACATAGGAACTGTTCTCCCCCCCACCTTCCCTGCGCCCCCAACCATTCAATGCCTTGTAAGTGAATATCTCTGTCCGTATAACCCAGTGGTGATGGATTCCATGAAGACAACAACAACTTGTGTTTATATAGCGCCCTTCACTCGGGGCAGCTTCTTGGAGCGCTTAACAGTGGCGGAGCCTGACACAGAGCCAGAGGCAGTGACCATAAGCATGGACAAATAGGAAGGTCTTCAGTCATGATGTAAAAGAGGGGAAGGATGGGGCATGGATTGGGGGAGAAAGTTCCAAGGTTTCGGGGCATAGTGGCTGGAAATACGGCTGCTGATGGTGAAGCATCAAAGGTACACAAGCCTCAGATACAATACCTCACAGGGTCACAATTCCTCCAGCCACCCACCCTAACATCCCCCCATCACAGCATTGAGCTGCTTTTATTATGACTCCCAGTGCCCTGACCTCAAACCACCCTTCCTGGTAACCCTGTTCCAATTGTTAATTCCCTTCTGTATGAAGACTGTACTGATAATTACAGATATTTATAAAAGTGTGGCAACATGAAGTATGTTATGATGTAACTGATTGATGCCAGATTAAAGTTATAAACATAATATTTAACGTGTTCTCAAATGATTCATTTTCAAAAATGCAGAACAAGGTTAATAGGCAGATTGAATCCTTACAAAATACAGTCACTACAATTTAGAGTGAAGTGTTTTTGGAAGTCCTCCTGATGTGAAAGGTGCGAGAAATGTAAATTATATTATATCAAAGTAAGGAATATTATTGCATTTGGACAGTACTTACATCCGTTGAATAATTGAAAGAATTGTCTGTGTTAAAGACCTATCATTGTCAACCCCTCACAGTCGCTCGGGTAGGATTGTAGCAGCCTGTACCTAAAATTCAACCAAGTCTGTAAAATCTTTGTTTTACAATTCAAGGTTACGCAGAATTGTGAAAAGTTCTTAAATTAAAAACCTGCTGTTCTGCGATGCTTAAAACAAAGGTGGCTTCCAAATTCAGACTGGATTTAAGTTTTTTTCCGTCTTAAATCATTTAAGACAAGAAAAACAACAACAAAAACAACAACTTACATTTATCTAGCGTCCTTCACGCAGGGTAGCGTCCCAGAGCGCTTCATCAAGCCAGGAGGAGAGGGAGATAAAACATCTCAAAGTGCTTTGCAATCATTACAGACACAGACCTAAACAATGCCACCAAAATCACATCATTTCTCCAGTTAGTCCACCCACCCTCTGCCCCACCCATGCCCACACACACAAAAATAATAATAATCCTTGCAAGTGATATAGTGCTTTTCACGTCTTCTAGACCCCCAGCTCCGCTCATTTCTCTCTCGCCATTCCCTCTTTGAACCCCTCTAATCCAGCTTCCGCGCTGCTCACAGTTAGGAAACAGCCCTGGTCAAAGTCACTAATAACATTATGAACATCTGTGATCAGGGCTCCCTCTGCCTCCTTGTCCTCCTCGACCTCTCTGCCGCCTTCGACACCATCAATCATTCCATCCTCATACACCGCCTCTTTGCCTTACTCAATCTTCACGACCTGTCCTTGTCTGGTTCGATTCCTATCTCTCTCACCATCTCCACTTTGTTGCCTCTAACGGTTTCTCCTCCAGTCTCCGCACTGTCACGTCTGGCGTCCCCCTCAGGGCTCTGTCCTTGTCTCCTCTTTAATATCTATATGCTCCCCTTTGGTGTATGCGAATGACACCCAACTCTATCTTTCTGCCCCCACCCTCAACTCCAGGACCACTGCTGTCTGTCGGACATCAAGTCCTGGATGAGGGCAAATTTCCAACAGTTAAATGTGAACAAGACTGAGGCCCTCCTGATTGGCTCGCACCATCGCCTCCGCACCTCAGGCTCTGGCAACATCAACCTCCATAGTTACACACCACAACTCACCAACCAGTCAGGAACCGAGGTGTCTTGTTCAACAACAACAAGATTCCATTTATAGAGCACCTTTCACGTCGGGAGGACGTCCCTCAACTGTCTTTTCTTCCACACATTCAAGCCATGACCCGCTCTGCCTTCCCTCACCTCTGTAACATCACCCGACTCCGCCACTACCTCACCCCTCAGGCGCTGAAACTCTTGTTCATACCTTCATCACCTCCAGGCTCGACTATGCAAACTCCCTGCTTGACGGCCTTCCCAACTCCTCCCTCCACAGCTGCAGATAATCCAGAACTCTGCAGCCCGTGTCATCTCCTGCACCAAACTCCATGACCCCATCTCCCCTACTCTCGCCCAACTCCACTGGCTCCCTATCCTTCAGAGGATCCTGGTCCTCACCTACAAAGCCCTCCATGGCCTCGCCCCACAACAACAATAACAACAACACAATTACATTTATAGAGCACCTTTCACATTGGGAAGACGTCCCAAAGCGTCCCAAAGTGGTGTCGGGGCCCGAGCATGGAGGAGGGGAGGTGGTGTAGGGGTGAGGGAAGGCAGAGAGGTGGGAGGGAGACCAAAGGTACGGTCAAATAGAAAGGTCTTGAGACCAACCTTGAAGAAGGCACCCTACCTCTGCAACCTCCTAACCCCCTACCAACCCGCCAACTCCCTCCGCTCAGCCGGCTCCGGGCTACTCCATGTCCCATTGGCACCATTGGCAGAGAGCCTTCAGCCACTCTGCCCCCAACTTCTGGAATTCCATCCCCCAATCACTCCGCCTCACCCCCTCCTTAGCCTCCTTCAAGTTCCGCCTCTTCGACCAAGCCATCAGCACCCCCCTTCCACACCCCCCCTTCCCCACCTCTGACCCCAGCTAGGGGCTGAAATGCTGTACTCTGTCCACTGCCTTGGGATATCCTCCTGACGCGAAAGGGGCTATACAAATGTAATGTTGTTGTTGTTATCTCAAAGTGCTTCACAGAGTATACTGTAAAGTGAATTGACTGTATATTTGTGGGCGAAATGCAGCAGCCAATGCCCACAGCAGCTTCCCACAAACAGTCGTGGATTGAAGTGACCAATTTATTACTGTGTTTTTTTTTCTTGAGGGGTTATTATAAGGCATGTGGAGTAAGGGAATTTGCCCAAGGTTTTGCCCTGCTGAGAATCGAACCCAGGTCTCTCGCTTGCCCCTGAGCTGCAAAAATGCATTGTGCGATGTGTTAACAATCACGGGATATAATTATCACATAATTATCACATAATTATGACGGTGATAGGACTATCGAAGATTAAATCTTTTGTCCCTGGTGTAGAGGAGGCAGAAATAGCATAGCTCACACACAGCTCACTAAATTCCAATGTTTATCAACAAGTCCAGCTATTTCAGAGTCACGGCACACTCCCCTGAGGGTAAATAAATCCATAGAAAGATGAGAAGTTCAAGGTCCTGCGCCTATTGTCAGATCAAAGTTTGCTGTTACTCAATGATCCTGAGACATGAAATGTTGTCGTCAGACATGTTCTCATGCACAGCGGGCTCAGGCGTGTGATAACTAAGGAATGTGCGCTGGACACAAAGGGAGACAGGTGAAGGGTTAAGACACGTGCCTTACAGAGAAACACGAGCCTCACCTGGGTGTGATAAGTGGAGACTGGCCATAAAATGATAACGATCTCTGGGCAGGTTAATGTTCTCCTGAATGTCCAATTAAAAATGATTCACAGGGCAATGACAACCTGAATCTCCAGATTGCTCTTGGTTTATTTGAGATAGCTATTTATTAGGTCAACAACAACAAATTACATTTACATAGTGCCTTTCACGTCAGGAGGAAGTCCCAAGTCGCTGGACAGTCAGGGATCCGCATTGAGCGGAGAGGTGAGTCGGGGGTTAGGAGGTCACAGAAGTAGGGAGGAGCAAGGTCATAGAGGGCTTTGAAAGTGAGGACCAAATAGGACCCTTCAAAGCATAAACGTAAATAAAAATTTGGTCACTCAATCCACGATTGTTTGTGGGACGCTGGTGTGCGCAATTGACTGCCGCGTTTCACCCACAAAATATATTCTCAATTCACTTTACAGTATATTCTGTGAAGCCCTTTGAGACGTCTCAAAGATGTGATAAGGCGCTATATAAAAAAAATCAAATGCAAGGATTATTATATAAAGTGCAAGGATTATTATTATAAATTTAGCCCAACAATATTCCACTTCTTTCCTCTGAATGTAATAAACAGCAATGTGAATTGAAGGTTTATTGTTTGAGGGATATTTATATCAAGCTCAGCGCATTGGTAATTAACATTGAAACTGCAAGAATGAATTATTTATCATTAAAACTCCCGTGACATGGAAACTCGTGCAATGCAACGCCCCGTTACAACAAAACCCTTACAGGACATTTCTGTTGCAATGAATTTTCTTTTTCCACATTGAAAATCCCTTTATTTATAACTGTCTATGAAGATTAAACTCACACATTGTTAGAAAAGATCCTTTTTTTCGCAGATGACATTGCCAGTGTTCAGGTTTGGCTTTGTCAGTGTGAACATCTCACGCCTCACATGGAGTCCTGTAGCTCAGTGGTTAGAGCACTCGCCTTAAAGGTGAGAGGACCTGGGTTTGATTCCTGGGCAGGGCGAAACGTTGGGCAAGTTTCCTTACTCCTAGCAGTAAATCAGACCCTGTTTGTTAGTCGATTGGCAGATCGTTTTTCCGGGGGTAACAATCCTTTAAAAAATAACAATAATTTGGTCACTCAATCCACGACTGTTTGTGGGACACTGCGGTGAGCAATTGGCTGCTTCATTTTTCCCACAAAATATACCGTCAGCTCACTTTCCAGTATATTCTGTGAAGCGCTTTGAGACGTCTCGAAGACGTGATAATGCACTGTGTCAAATGTAAGTATCATTTTTATCATTTAACACAAAACATCCCCAGACACATTGCAGGGAATTGTGGTCAAACCTAGTAACTATCTACAGGCAAAGACCACAATCAATGTATGCACAGCAACGTCCCACAAACACCAGGAGGTGAAAGATCAATTGAACAGGCAATGGATGGGACCTTGGTTTAACACTTCATCCAAAAGATGATATCTCTGACATTGTAGCTCCCCCCTCTGCCTCCAACCCCCCACACCCCAGCTCTCTGCATGTGGAAGTTAGACTTGTTGGGTATAAAAGGAGTTTTAGTCGGTATCAATGAGATACAAATCTGACCAACTCCCAGCTGCCTGCTGCTCTTCCAATTTTTTTTTGGTGGGGTGGGAGTGAGGTGCTGTCACTTATCGAGTTTAATCATCCTTTTTTACTGCAATGTACTTCCTTTTTTTTGGTGGGTGTCTGACACATGTGGAAACCCATCACTATGCTTCAGAGTCTCCAAACCAAACTGAGAATACCAGGTCTCCCACCTCCACATGGAAATCCCAGAGATAGATTGTTGGAATGGAATGCTCTCTCTCTCTCTCTCTCCCTCTCTCCCTGGAGGGACGTATCCTGTTTACCTAATTCCAAAAAGTATTCGGCTCAAGTTAGCCAGAGCCAAGGCTTGGGGACCCCAGAGTGTGCTTTGGGGTAACTGCTGGAGTCTAACCAGCTTCTGGTCTGATCAGTTATAAACTACGGACTGCAGGAATCTGCATCACAGCATGAATTATAATATTATAATAACAATCCCTGCACTTTATATAGTGTCTTTCACTTCTGGAGGACATCTCAAAGCACTTCGGAGGAGGTACTGTAAAGTGTAGTAACTGCGTTTTGTTGAGTGTCATTGTGTCCAGCTGTGTGTGTATGTGCGTGTGCATGAGTTACATACATTTGTGTGAATGCATGCGTTTGAATATGTGTGAGTAAATGAGAGTGAATAAATGAGTGCATGTATGCATGAATGAACAAATGAATGAGTGTGGAGAGCAAGTGTGTGAACGGATGTGTGCTCGATCCCCAGCTCTCTTTTCTCCATCACATCCGGTCCCTCACCAAGACCACCTTTCCTCACATGGGCCCCATTGCCCGCCTCCTCCCCTACCTCACACTCAACGCCACTGAAACACTCCTTCACATATTCCTCACATTTTGTTCAGTTTCCCAGTGTTTCTCCTCGCTGGTTTTCCTCGCTCTACTAATCACAGGCTGCAACTCATCCAAACCTCCACACCCCAGTCCTCACCAAACTTCACTGGTTCCCAGTGGGTTGATTTCAAGCTCCTCACCCTCACCTATAAAATCATCCATTCCCTGGCACTTCCTTTTCTCTCCAACCTTCTCCTACTTCACTCCTCCACTCCCCACCTCCACTCAGCTAGCTCAGACTTGCCCATCTTCCATTCACCACCATCGGTGGCCAAGCTTTCAGTTCCTACACGTCTAATCTCTGCAACTTCCTCCTTCTAACTCCTCCACTGCTTCTCTTCCTGTTTAATTCTTGCCTGAAATCCAATCTCTTTGAACAAGCCTATGACCACCTCCCCATCCTCCATCCTTTACTCAGTGTCCAACCACATCTCTGTGAAGAGCTCCACAATTCCTGTGTGTGTTAGGTGCCATGTAATCACATGTTGCTGTTGTGTTCAGTGATAACGCATAGAGTAAGCTTTCATTCAATAATAGCTTGTGTAAGGTTGGTAGGAAGGAAACATCTCATGTAGTGTCAGTCATGCTGGATTTGGGAGGTCCTGGCTGCCTGGTGGGAGGGTATCATCAGCTCAGCTGAAAGATACTGGAGCTTGAGAACCATCAGCAGACACGTATTGTGACAGGTGTTATCACTCACATGTTTGTCCTATAGGAGAGGACCCCATTTGGAATAGACTTGTGGTAGACTTGGGGTATGCTTAGACTTGGAGAAGATATTGAGTAGATCTGGACTTGCTTTGACAGAAGTAATGTAAACAGCACATGAGTGGCAGTGGCTTCTGTAATTGACATTAAGTTTTCCTACATCACCATCCTACATCGATGGTATTTGTACACAATCTATTTCACATTCAATGATGCTCAGAATTGGGTTTCAACACTAAACCTAGAGAGCTACATGATGTCAGGAAGAATGAGTCCCTGTGGATAGATCTGCTCAGTACACGAGTCGCTTCACCAGCCCAGCAATCGTAGGTTTCATGGGGAGATGCAGGGGAACTAGGTCTCCTCCACTCTGGCACACAAGGGGAGCAGCTCAGCTTTGGGGATTGGAAGATGCCCAAGGTGGAACATTTTCCACTGAAGTAGGGTAACCCTAACCTGTCTCATGACAGTCTAAACCCAGCTCACATTCCCTTGTAATGGGCTCACAATGTCAGGGAGAACATTGGTGAGACACAGAGCATAGCTCCCCCTACCTTGCCCACTCCTGCCTCGATCCCACCCAGGCAACACAACCAATAACAATAAGTGAGACCTCCTTATTATGTTCTGACAAGAACTCAGGAGAACATTCCATATAATCGCCAGGCGGGTGTCACATCACCCCCCCCCACACACACACACAGAGCCTCCCTCAGTTTCTCAGCTGCCGGATTTGCAAGAAACTGAAACCAAATCAAATCAGTTCACGGCAAAAAAAAAATTCCCTTTAAACACAAAATTCCATCTCGTCTGAGTCATCATGGCAATTTTGCGGAATTGTGAAAATTCCTTAAATTTCAGTCTTTATTTGGAAGCCGGTTTCTTTTTAGGAAATATGGAAACCTCTACGTTAAATCTATTTAATAATTTTCCACAGGTCTGCTAAATTTTAAGACAAAATGGACTTGCAGGCTAAGAGTGGGTGGAATTTCGGGGCATTAGTGCCAATGGCATCTTTGTGTTGAGGACTGGTGTGAATTAGGACGTGAGTTGGAAATGCATTGGGTTCTCACAGAGCTGGACTGCAACCCAGAGAAGAGAGACCAAGTCAATTCCACTTGCCCTTTCTGGCTGGTCCCCGAAAACACAGAGAAAAGATGGATTCAAAGTAGATGCGGGGTGGGGGGTTGGTGAAACCAGACATCACCAGAAGATTGTTGGAATGGAATGCGCATTCTCTCCCTGAAGGCACGCATCCCACTTAGCTAATTCCAGAAAGTATTAGACGCAGGTTGGCAAAAGCCAAGGCTTGGGGTGCCAGAATGTGTCGGAGTAACTCCTGGAGTCTAACCAGCCAAAAGCACACAGCTTGCCATTGATATCGCTGTCTGGCAAGCTTTCCTGCTGCTTGTCCAGCTGGAACATTCCTAACTATTAGGGCTTTGGCTGCAAAGTTAACAGGAGCTGAGTGGTTGGATTCCCTGCCCCCAGTGACTGGTCGGCCCTTCCAGGTGCTGCGGATGTGCTAGGCTGGGCTGGGCTGTCATCAGCAGTGCTCTGGAATACTGCGGACCCACCTGGCTCAGCAACCAGACTAGAGACCGCCACAGAGGCCTGGCTCGATTCTGACATTCTGTAGCCAAACATGTCACCTTGGGAGCCAGTTCAGCTCCTAGGAGACCCTGTAAGGAGATTAGTAGGGGTGAAGTTGGCAACCTAATGTGACAATGTACAGTCTAGGGGGTTGTGTGCATTGGAAGCATTTCTGAGAGATAGCGTAATGCTCCCAACAACACTCACGGTGCTCAGTGAGATCCAGAATTAGCACCTCAGTTACAAGCTCATTCACGTCACTAAAACAAGTGACTGTCAGCTCACGTGACAGGCCTGTGTACGTCATTAATAAACCCAGCATTGGTGCTCTGATGCAACTGCTCACAACCACTTGGTGACCACCAGACGATCGCAAACAAAAACAACCCAACGCTAGTTAATTTTTAACAGTATCACCTAATATCGAAACAAAACTCATGTCAATCTCCCAATAATGGTCCCAGCTAATCTGCTGTCCGGATAATTGGCCGAATTATAATATATACCAAATAGCTTATTTACCCGTAATCTGCCTCTCAAAAAAANTACTCGCTGATATTAAATATTAGCCATCTAATATTCCCCGTCAGTTCATACATGCACTGTCAGGTCCTAAGCCATTTCTCACCTACAGTCTTGCCAACTAAGCGTGCCTGCCGCCTCTCTACACTTTCCTGCTCAAAAAGATAGTGGTCGAGTAACAAAGCAAAAATGAACTGTAAACCTATATATTATAAGGACTAGCAAATAGCCTGGGACAAGTAAATAGGTAGTTCGGGATATATGTGCATGCGACCGCCAAGAAGGTAGAAGGCGAACTAAATGGACCTTGGTCTTTTTTCGTCTAATATTTCTTATGTACTTATGCTCTTATGCTGTGTAAACAAAATCTCTGCGTTCTGCAAAAATCACTCTAGGTTTACTCTTGTGATTAATTAGCTTTCAGCTCTCCGAGACGCTGTCCCGCGTGAAGGGCGCTATAGAAAGGCAAGCTGTTGTTGTTGTTGTCAGACCCACTCGTTGGAACTACTGGGAACAACCTCACAAGGAGTAATGGTTTGTCGTAGTCGAGCGAGAGGCTGATGTGGACATCACCTCCCAGCGGACATTACTGACGATGACACTAAGTTTGATTCTCCTCTCTCTCTCTCTCTTGTTTTTTTGTATCCTTATTTTTACTCAAGTTTTTTTTTATCCACATAAATAAATTTCTTGCAAAAGTGCTTCAAACCCTTGCGCCATCCTTCTCGGCCACTGATCGGCCCGGTTTACCGAAGCCGGACAGATTTGGGTATTTCCACAGTTTTGTGCTTCACTCCAGACAGCGAGTCCTCGGAATCGCCCGTTTTGCGAGAGACTTTAGGGCTTGCAACCCCTTTTCTCGGAGCCTGTGGGCTGGAGAGACCCTTCCTCTGGACTTGAGGACTGCCTTGTGTCTTCCTGTGAACCTGAGGGCTGGACTGAGATGCTTTCCTCGCTGGCAGTGGGCTCCTGGCTGCCTTAGGTTTCAGTGACTGTTGGAGACTCTCGATGCTCTTCAGTGCCAGCGCCTCACAGTAGCAGTTACACTGATGGGCATGAGCAAAGTCCTCAATGATTGACGACGGACAGTTTCCTGTAAGACCTTGATACCTGCAAAGAGAAACACATTTAAGCATGATCACTGCTCTGTCTTTACAGTGAGTAATAATAATTGCATTAGATATAGCGCTATGATGTCTTCAAGACGTCTCAGAGCGCTTCACAGAATATACTGTAAAGTGTAGTGATTGTATATTTTGTGGGTGAAATGCGGCAGCCAATTACACACAGCAGTGTCCCATAATAGTTGTGGATTGAGTAACTCAAATTATTATTATTATTTATTTATTTTGAAGTGATTATTACCCCACCCCCAGAAAAATGATCCGCCAATTGACTAAGAACTAGGTACCTACTTACTGCTAGATAAACAGAGCTATGTGGACTAAGGAAACTTGCCCAACATTTTGCTCTACCTGGGAATCAAACCCAGATCCTCTCACTTGTGACACGAGTGCTGTAACCACTAAGCTATAGGACTCCACAATATATTTGAATCACCAACTTTCCCGCTCTCTGGAATGACAGAAACCATCCACCTCCACTTACAAACTACAACCATAGCTGCATTGGCCACTAAATCCCAGAGAACCAAAGAGATTTACACACTGATGAAGGCCATTCGTCCCATTGTTTCTGTACGAAAGAGCAATCCATTCAGTCCCAATTACGTGCCTTTTCCCCCACAACACTGCAAATCACTCCTTTTCAGATACCTATGCTGTTCCCTCTTGAAAGATAATTTGGATTCCACCTCAACCACACCCCCTTCAGGGCATTTCAGATCATTGCTCCTAATGTCTATCTTTCCTCCTTTTCTAACTATCTAAAATTAACACCCTCTAATCACTGTCTCACAGTGGAAATCATTTCTCCCCATCGACTATCAAACCCTCTCATCATTTGAAGCTCTTGATCAGGTCTCCCCTCAACCTCCCCTCAACCTCCCCAGCACCTTTGGACATTCTCTGAATGTGAAGGGCACTATATCAATGCAATTTGTTGTTGTTGTTCCAGTGAAAATAGTACCCGGTTCCTCTGGTTTCTATTCACAGGTCAAACCCCTCATCCCTGGTGTCATCCTAATAAATTTCCTCTACATCCTCTCTATGACCCTGGACTAAACACAACAACAATTTGTATTTTTATAGCGTCTTTCACATCAGGAGGTGGATAGTTCACCTAAAGTGACATGAACAAAGTGGTCTAACTAACTATTTACATAGAGGCTTCACCTCTTTGGTCTGACAGCAATATCAATGGCAAGCTATGCGGTTTTAATTGGTTAGACTCCAGCAGTTACCCCAAAACACACTCTGGGATCCCCCAACCCTTGGCTCTTGCCAACCTGTGCCTAATTAGGTAATGGTGATGGGTTTCCACATGTGTCAGACACCCGGCTGACCAAAATACAGATATATATTCTATGCCTCTATTTATAAGCCTAGGATCCTATTAGATTTGTCCAACTTCCTTCCCACCTTTAAGGATTTATATTCATTAACCTCTCAGTCTCTCCATTGTTCTACTCCTTTTAAAATGTTACCATTTAGCATATGCTTACTCTTTTTATCTGTCCTCCTGATAACCTCGCACTTCCTGCATTAAATTTCATTTGCCATTTCTCTGCCCAATCTACTAGTATATCTATATTCCCCTGAAGTTGCTTACAAACTTCTTCATCTACACTAGTGCTCTGAGACGCTCCCCTGGATGAGGGGCGCTATATAAATGTAACTTGTTGGTTGTTGTTTTGTATCAGCTGCAAATTTAGAAATTGTCCCCTTATATAAATGGAGAAAAGCAGTGGTCCTAACCCTGACCCCTGGGGTACACCAATCTTTACATCTCTCCATTACGAATAACAATCTTGTATTCCCCAAATTCTATCCTTTAACCAACTCTCTACCATTTCTGTCACCTACCTATTGCTAATAAGTACCTTTATTTGGTTAACAAGCCTCGTACATGGCACCTCATCAAAATCCTTTCAAAAATCCACATGTACCAGTTTCCTGGCCTCCACCACCCTCAGTCTCTCTCTCTCGCTCCAGTAAAACTCAGCGGAAATCCTCATTCAGTCCTTCATTTTCTAAGATTAGATTTTTCGTCTCTATTTGGCCCAAGCTTTTCTTTCATGATTCCTTTGCTTTTTATATATTTAGAAAATCCTTTTGTGGTTTTCTTTACATTAACCTGCCATCCATTCCACACACATCCTCTCTTGTCCTCTCTGCTCTGTTTTGCTTCACTGTTATATTCTCTGTCCTCTGCCTGATTTCCATGGATAATGCAATGTCTGTGATGAACGTACCCTTTGGAAACAGTGGCGATCCGCACATCAGTAATCTTCAGACCAACGCCTGTGTGGATAAGCAGACAGACAGAGTGACAAGTAGAAAGGCCACTGTTAAACATCACAAACCATATATTATTGACAGTGCTGAGACACATTGTCACTCAGGGTCCTGTAATAATAATAATAGTGCATTTGATATAGCGCTTTATCACGACTTTGAGATATCTCAAAGCGCTTCACAGGTTGTACTGTAAAGTGAATTGACTGTATATGTTTTGGGTGAAACGCGACAGCCAATTGTGCACAGCAGCGTCCCACAAACAGTTGTGGATTGAGTGACTTTTTTTAAATCCGGGGGTACCTTTTGAAGGGATTATTACACCTGGAAAAGCGATCCGCCAATCATCTAACAATCAGGTTCCTACTTACTGCTAGGCAAACAGAGGCGTGTGGAGTAAAGAAACTTGCCTAAGATTTCACCCCGCCCGGGAATCGAACCCAGGTCCTCTCTCTTCAGCGAGTGAGCAATTCGCTCGAGTGGTCAAGCAGAGTGACCAACAGCCATGAGCGAGTGACCAATTTTTTTTGTAATCTGAGGGTTTGTTGGCCAGGACAGTTGGAGAGAGAAACTCCCTTCTCTTTTCCGAGTAGCGCCACAGGATCGTTTACTTATATCAATGGATATTGATCGTCTACTGTACCTTGTAAGTCTGTTACCAACAAATTCCCGTTTGTCCATTGGTAAATCCAGTGCTGGAAAGCCCGGCACTTGTGTCCAATCTCAGAGTCACTTTTCACCGTCATATTCTTGTCTTTCATTGAATACTTCACAAAGGGGCCACTCAGCTCCTCCTCAATGGTGGCGTAGGGGATGTTGTTGGCCGGGCGATAGACCAGGTGCAGCGGAATTATCCTGAAATCAATTCAAGACGGGGTGAGTGACAACAACAACAAATTACACTTGTTCAGCACCTTTCACATCAGGAGGACGACCCAAGGTGTTGGACAGTCAGGGATCTGCACCCGAGCTGGTGGTTGGGATCAGGAGGGGTGGAGACCAGGGAGGGTAAGGGTAGGAGGATGACTGAAGGCCCGGGCTAAGAGGAGGGTCTTGAGACGGGGCTTGAAGGAGGCAAAGGAGGGAGCAAGGCGGAGGGACTGTGGGATGGAGTTCCAGAGAGTGGGGGCAGAGGCTGAAGGCTAAAAATGGGAGATGTGAAGCAGGCCAGTGCCCACTGAATGGAGGGAGTGGGCAGGTTGGTATGGGATTAGGAGGTCTCAGAGTTAGAGTGAAGCAAGGCCGTGGAGGGCTGTGAAGGTGAGGACCAGGATCTTGAATTGTATCCTCTGTGTGATCGGGAGCCAGTGGAGTCGGGCGAGGATAGGGGTGATAGAGACCTGCGGGGTCTGAAGCTGTTGGAATTGAGAGCAACTCCAAGCTGCAGGGAGACTTACTCCGGCACAACCCCAAAGGTATTGATCGTTCGAGCCTCGGCAGCAAAGATTTTATTGTACTCCCTCGCTGTGTTCTGCAGCTTGCATTCCTGGCGATAAAAAAAAACATAAGAACATAAGAAATGCTAGGCCAAAAAAAGACCAAGGTCCATCTAGTTCACCGTCCACTTTCCTGGCGGTCGCGTTCGCATATGTCCCGAACCCTATTTGTACTATATCCCACAATGTTATTTCCTAAAAGAAAATGATCTAATCTGTGTTTTAAGGAATTAACACTTCCTGCTTCAACCATCACCCTAGGGAGCCTGTCCCACAGAATCCTGTGGTTAGAGCAAGTGAGAGACCTGAGTTCAATTCCAGGCAGAGGGCGAAACCTTGGACAAGTTTCCTTACTCCACACAGAGCCTAATAATAATCCCTCCAAAACCAACAACAATAATAAATTGGTCATTTTCAATCCACGACTGTTTGTGGGACATTGCTGTGCGCAATTGGCTGCCGCGTTCGCCCACACATATACAGTCAATTGACTTTACAGTGTGTTCTGTGAAGCGCTTTGAGACGTCCTCCCGACGTGAAAAGCGCTATATCAAATGCAAGGATTATTATTTATTATTATTATTATTCGCTCATTGAACTAGCGTTTCCATAGATATTTCCTGAATTTACCCCCTTCAATCGCAGGCCGTGTTCTCTGGTTTTAGTCTGACTTGGGTGGCAGCACTGAGGGAGGATAGAGGTGTACATGTTGCAGAGAGATGAGATCAAATGGGTCCAAAGGCCTTCTCTACCTAAACTTCTTTTGCGACCTTGTGATATTGGTCCAGTTACAGGATTTACTGTAAAGTGTAGTGCCTGTGTATTTTGTAGGAAAAACACAGCAGCTAGTTCCACACAGCAGTGTCCTACAAATAGCTATGGAGTGAGTGACCGATTTTATCCAAAGGCTTGTTGGCCAGGACACCAGGAGAGAGAAACTCCCTTCTCTTTTCAAATCGTGCCATAAGATGTTTAACAGTCAGACAGGACCTCGGTTTAACATCTCATCCGAAGGGCGACACCTCTGACAATGCGGCACTTGGCTACAGACCAAGACAGGCCCTTGGCTACAGACCAAGACATGCTGACAGTGGTGTTATCAGCTCCCGAGTGAACTGCAATCATTCTCCTCTGCGGGCGATACGACTGCTCCACTCTGCAGTTGGGCCGGATGGTTTACCTGCACAGTGAGGCTGTGGTTTCTCTCAATCAGGCTGTTCTCGTTCTTGGTGGTGTAAGCGATGCAGTTTCGCACTTTGATGATACAGGTAGAGCCGGAGTCGAAGATGGGGTCTAACCCGTATATAACCTTCACCCGGCTGGCCTTGCCCAGGAACCCAGCTCCAAAATGCACCTCCTCCATCATAATCCTGCCGAAAAACTTGTCAGCCCAGAACCCGGAGTCCATCAGACTTTTAGCGAACAGCACAGGCATCATTTCGATTTCCTCGCCCACTGTAATGGAGACCACAGGATGTGACACTCTGCGTTACACACAGCACAAGGCCAAGTTGTGACTCAATAATAATCCTTTCATTTGATACAGCGTCTTAACATGTCATCGAGACGTCTCAAAGTACTTCACAGAATACACTGTAAAATGGAGACTGTGTGTTTAGTGGGTGAAAGGCAGCAGCCAATATGCACACAGCAGTGTTCCACAAACAGCTGTGGAGCGAGTAACCAATTTTATTTGGGGGTTCGTTGGCCAGGACACTGGGAGGGAGAGAGAAACTCCCTTCTCTCTTAGTGTCATGGGATCTACAACGTCCACCTGAACAGGTAGTCAGGACCTTAGTTTAACATCCCATGTGTGAATGACGGCACCTCCGACAATGAACCCCAAACCCCCGCTGCCCCCACCACTGCATTGGAGCATCAGATTAGACTATGTGATTCCAAGTCGCAAAGTGGGGCTTGAACCCACAACCTTCTGACTCAGAGGTGAGAGCGCTACCAACTGAAGCAGACTGACACTTACTAAACTAAAAGGCCTGTCAGCATGGCGGGTCGCTGTAGGGAGGCTGTGATCTTACCTTCAACATCTTCCCTGGAAATAAATCCGCTCATCCCTGCAACAACAACAAACATCCCACTTAGACTATCAGCCAATAACAATATTCGGTAATTGACTAACAACTGGGTACCTACTCGCTGCTGGTCAGGACCCGAGCAGGGGGGAAATGGTCAGGGGGAGGGGAGGGAAGGGAGGGAGCGAGGAGGGGGTAGATAGTCGAGAGGGGAGCTTAATGCTGAGCTGAATTACTGTGTGGGGGGTGGGGTTGGAGGGGGAAACGAGGAGGGGAGGGGTGGACGAGGAGGGGAGGGGGGGACGAGGAGGGGAGGGGGGGACGAGGAGGGAGGATGGAGAGGCTACTGCCCCTCACACACAACAGCCCCGCCCCTCACACACAACAGCCCCGCCCCTTACACACCCCACTCCCCTGCCCCTTACAGTCCCAGATGTGTTATTGCCCCCCCCCACTCATTCACTCACAAACCAGGGGTAGACAGCTGTTTGGAAGGCGTGGTGTAGGCTGACACATCACTTACCTCCACTGCTGAGCAGGAAGTCTGTGCTGTCGGAGCCGTAATCATTCTCCACCACACACTTGTAAACACCACAATCCTTCCCCGAGGCCTGGACGATGGCCAGCGCTAACTGGCTTTCATCCCCAGCGCTGAAACACAGCACAGCGCAGCCGTCTGATCAGAGCACGGCAACAGGAGCATCCTCCCCAAACTCTTTTGTGTGTATCGTGTGCATTGATTGTAGTGTATTGTGCTATATTGTGTTGTATTATATTGTCTGTCTTGTATTGTGTGTATGAACATAAGATCATCAGAATTTGCTGTTGAAACAAGTTCAAGGTCCCTCTAGTTTGCCTTCCACCATCCTGGCACTCGCTTGACATGTCGGGTCCCAAACTGTACACTGCATTCCCAGATATTATTTTCTAGCAGAAATCTATTTAATTTGTTCTTGTATTGTATTATACTGTGTTGTGTTTAGTGTGTACAGTACTGTATTGTGTTGGGTTGTGTGGTAAGAATCTGGTTGAAGGAGAACCAAGCCATGGATCAGTTACCTCCGCTTCAGTTCATCCAAACAAAGTCCATCTTTAAACCATCGGACAGTCGAGTCGCTCAACAAATTGAAGAACTGACACCAGAGCTTCAGGTTCCCGGAGGCGTCAGTAAACTGCTCGGCTCTGATCTTCCTGATCACCTGAGGAGCTAAAGAACACGCAGAGCCGGTCAGAGGCTGACTGACGGGATACAGGGCACAGGGGACGGGGGGGGTGGAGGAGGGGTGGGGCTGGAGGCTCATCTGGAGATGGACGAGCTGGGAAAAATGGTGCTGGGTAAATGCAAGTTGTTCTTCATATCACACACACTGTCTCTGCGCCTTAGCCCTCTGAGCCCTCAGGGCTCTGTCCTCGGTCCCCTCCTCTTCACCCTCTATATGCTCCCCCTCGGTGACATCATCCGCAGACATGGAGTTAACTTCCACATGTATGCGGATGACACCCAACTCTACCTTTCCTCCTCTACTCTCAACTCCACGACCACCGATGTCCTGACAGCTGTCTGTCCGACATCGAGTCCTGGACGAGAGACAACTTTCTTCAGCTCAACGTGCGAAAAACCGAGGCCCTCCTGATTGGCTCACGCCAGCGCCTCCGCACCTCAGGCGCTGACACCATCAGCATCCAAGGCTGCACTCTCCACCTCTCAAAGCCAGTCAGGAACCTCGGGGTTTTGTTCGACCCTGAGCTGTCCTTTCTCCCTCACATCCGCACCACAACTGGCACTGCCTTCCATCACCTCCGGAACATCGCCAGACTACGGCATTACCTCACCCCTCACGCTGCTGAAACCCTGGTTCATGCCTTTATCACCTCAAGGCTGGACTATGGGAACTCTCTCCTCGCCGGCCTTCCCGCCACCTCCCTCCACGGGCTGCAGGTCATTCAGAACTCTGCAGCTCGTGTACTGTCCCGCACCAGACACCGCGACCACACCACACCCACCCTCGCTCGCCTCCACTGGCTCCCCATCCCCCAGAGGATTGATTTCAAGATCCTCATCCTCACCTACAAGGCCATTCACGGCCTTGCTCCCTCCTACCTCTCCAACCTACTATCCCCCCACCTACCCGTCCGTACCCTCCGTTCCTCTGGCTCCGGTCTGCTCCACGTCCCCCGCCCCAACCGCCCTACCATCGGTGGTCGGGCCTTCAGCCTCTCAGCCCCCAGGCTCTGGAACTCCATCCCCCAGTGCCTTCGCCGCTTCCTCCCTTTCCTCCTTCAAGGCCGGTCTCAAAACCTTTCTCTTTGACCGTGCCTTCAGCTCCCCTCTCGACTCTCTTCCCCCTCCTCGCTCCCTCCCTTCCTTCCCCTCACCCTGACCATTTCCCCCCTCCTCGCTCCCTCCCTTCCCTCACCCTGACCATATCCCCCCTGCTCGGGTCATGACCCAACTGTGCAGCGCCTTGGGACGTCCTCCTGACGTGAAAGGCGCTTTATAAATGGAATCTTGTTGTTGTTGTTGTTGTTATCACGATGTTGAGATGCCTCAAAGCGCTTCAAAGGATATGGGTGTTTTGTAAGCGAAACGCAGCAGCCAATTGCACACAGCAGCGTCCCACGCACTGTCTCTGATAACACCTTACAAACATAGAGTCTGTTCACACTCACTCTTACACTCAGTGCAGTCACACTCGTACCTTTAAAGGGGTTTTTGGTTGATTTCACCTCCTCTGTTTTGGCCTCACTTTTCCCAGTGGATGACTTGACCTCCGCGACTGTTTCCCCTCTGGTTGCTGACACGCTCTCGCTCTTCTCCTCCGGCTCCTGGCGAAGCTTGGGGACCTGGAGCATGGTCATCCTGCGGGCGGGGATAGGGGAGCAGCGGGGGGCTTGGGGGGCCGGTGGGGTCACCGGAGCCTGTAACAAGGAGTTGCTTCTCCTGCGAGGCAGGGGATAGAGGTCGTCCTCCACCAGCTCCTGCATCCTCCTCCCAGCCTCTTCCTTCCTTGGCTGAGGTTGCATGTTAAGAGCATCCAATGGCAACACCTCGGTGTTCTCCGTTTGCTTGGATTTGGGGACAAATATCTTGCGCCGGGCTCCAGCGGCCAACTCCTGAGGGGTGGCGGACGGAATGGGAGGTGGGCTCTCGCTGGGCTTGAGCTTGGGATCTCTGCCCTGCTCAGGAGGGGTCCCCAGCTCCCTGTGACCCAGCTCCTCGGACGCCTGGCTCGTTGTTGCCGCTTCTTTGAGCAGAACATCTCCCACCAGGATGCACGGCAGTCGGCTCACCTCCGGCGCCCTGGAGTCGGGAACGCTCTTCACCGGGACATGGTCACCCCCACTCCCGAGGGGGTTTGTGTCTGTGTCCCCCATGATCACCAATGCCTTTTCAACACTTCGAACATCCGTCACTACCAACAACGTCCTTCCACCATTCGGCACCTCCTTCCTCTTGTCTTCCACTGTCTCCGTCGAGCACGGCACTGGGGCTTTGTCTGTAGTCTTGTCCTCAACATGCACAGAAGGAACTGTGGAGCCTTCTCTATTCTCTCTCCTGCTACCGTCCAGAGCCATCGGTGGTGCAGGTGTCTGTCGGGTGTCGATAACGTTTCGTGCCAATGCCAGCCTTGGCTTGGTCTGATCTCCAGTTGGCACAAGAGGCATCTTGGTTGGGAATTGCTCACCATTAGATGAAAAGGACTTCGGATCGCTCCCGCCCAAGCCCCCAACCCTGGGCTCCTCGCCAGCACTACTCACTGGGCACAGAGCATGGTCATCTCCCTTCTCCATCAACAGTGATGCTGGACTAGACACCTGTGGCTCAGGCTCTCTCACAGCCACAGGTAATGGCGACACCTTAACATGCTCAACATCTGTACCAACCACAGGCACTCGCTCTTCTTGTGTACAGACACTGTGCGCGGTACCGTCCGGGAACCCGCTCGGTGGGGTCCAGCCAACCTCTGTCTCTGCCGATGGCTTCACGGGGACAGGCAGTGACCCACACGGGAGGCCATCAGTCGGCTGCAGTCCTGCTGTGTCCTGGATGTGTGAGCCCAGCCCACTAACAGCTGAGATGTTCAATGCTACTTTGCTAATGACCGCTGGAGGTCTATCACCCCTCGAGGTAGTGGGTGTCTGTAAACCAGCGAGCAATGACTCAGCATTGTCAGGAGAGCCCACAGCCACAGCTCCCTGCACACACATTCCCAATCCAACATCCTCACCGCATCCCACCGGCTTTGTGGTTTTGGTAATCTCAGCATCACCCTGGACACCCATCATCCCCGTCAGTTTCTCACCTCTGGCCACTGCCTCAGGAACACGTTCTTCAACCAAAGGAACCTTCATTGTTAAGGAAGTTCCACCCAACAAAGCTTCGCTTACAGAACATGTGCTTATCGTCTCCCTTCTCTCTGGGACCAGGTTTTCCACGGAATCTCGGCTCTGTGCCGTGCGCACGGGCACCTCGGCAGCCTGGCCAGCAATCTGGGCAAGGCTGTCAATTGTTACTTCCATTGGTTCAAAGCCATCTCTTAGGTGGTCCTGGCTGGCCTGACTTCCGTGGCTTCCCCTCTCTGCCACACACTGATGTTCCCTGTGATTGTTGGCCTGAGCTCTCTCACTAGACACTTGGTCCTCAGGGTCTCTTAGTGGCTTTGCTTCCAGTATTGGACGCTCAGCTGTTGTCTCGTTTTGCTTTGACGATTTCAAGAAATCCAACATCTCCCTCTGGGTGTCGCTAGCACCTACCTGGTCAGGTCCCGCCTGACCCTCCTCCTCCACAGCCTGAAATACAAAGAGACTATCAGCCGTTGTCTGACACACGCGAAAACCCATTCTCAAGTTGAAGAATAGCAGTGAAGAGCACAGAAACTTGGGCATTAAATCCTTAATGGTGGGAAGACAGGTGGACAAAGCTGTCAAGAAGTGAGAATACAGCAGTAGTATCGTCTTCATGCCCTCTTATTAGCAGAGGAGGGATGTCCTCCGTTCGAATGTGGCCAAATGACCCACAGTGACCAGTGAAAACATACCACCAGGTGCAGCCGCCTGTAGTTCTGTGGACAGCCATCAGGTGGCGATAACTGCCCAGGAATGAACCAACAACATCAACCTGGAAAACCAGATACAATACAACAACAACAACAACAACACGGTTACATCTGTATAGCGCCTTTCACGTCGGGAGGACGTCCCGAGGCGCTGGGAATACAATACGCTTTACATTTCAACAACATATCAAATGCAAGGATTATTATATTATTATTATTATTATTATAACACCTTTCATATCGGGGGGATGTAAGAGGGGCTGCTTAAATTTTGCCCACAAAATACACTTCACAATATATTCTGTGAAGAGCTTTGAGACATCTCAACGATGTGATAATGCAAAATGATTATAGTTATTATTAATGATTTAACGGACTGGTTTTCAGCCATCTGAAGGGGGGCAGATCGGAAGGGGGTTGGCGAAAGTGGTCCATGGCCCCTTAATTTGAGGACTCATTATAATAATAATACTTGCATTTGATATAACGCCTCATTACGTCTTCGAGACGTCTCAAAGCGCTTCACAGAATATACTGTAAAGTGAATTGACTGTTTATTTTGTGTGGGCGAAACGTAGCAGCTAATTTCACACAGCAGCGTCCCATACACTCTCTCTATCTGATACTACCTTACAAAGGTAGAGCCTGTTCACACTCACTCTTACATTCAGTGCAGTCACACGCGTGACTTTAAATGGGTTTTTGGTTGATTCCACTGCTTATCTTCAACACAATAATGGGGTTCCGCGTGTGTCAGACACCTGACTGATCACCGTGATGGGTTTTCGCATGTGTCAGTCATGAATTGAGTCACCAAATGTGGCAGCCAATTGCTCACAGCAGTGTCCCACAAACAGTCCTGGATTGAGTGACCAAATGGATGGATTATTACCTTCGGAAAGCGATCCGCTAATCGACTAACAACCGGGTTCTTACTTACTGCTAGGCAAACAGAAGTGTAAGGAAAGTTGCCCAACGTTTCGGCCTGCTTGGGACTAAGCTACAGGACTCCACAGTATATTTGAATCACTAAACTTCCCGCTGTCTGGAATGACACCAGTATTCCTGATGGTAGCATCATTAGAGATAGCGGCAAATTCAAAAATAAACTGATTAGAAACCCTCTGGGCCCCTGTCTATGTATCACAGCTTTTTTTGTCTGTGTCAGTCAGTGTCCTTGTCACAGGGTTTTATTTTAGTTTGAGAGAAAGTGAGCAGAGTTAGGACTCTGGAGATGATTTTCATTAGCACTGGAGCTCATGTGTATTTTGTGTGATCACTGTTTTACCTGCAAGCTTTCACTGGGCTGATGGTAATAATAAATAAATAACAATAATCCTTACATTTGATATAGCGCCTTATCACATCTTCAAGACGTCTCAAAGCGTCACAGACTACACTGTAAAGTGAATTGACTGTATTTTTGTGGGCGAAATGCAAAACAAAAAAAAGTAATAATAAGAATTTGTTTAATTAATAATTCATTAATTAATAATAAATGTCAATAATAATCCTTGAATTTCAACAACACATTACATTGACACAGCGCCTTTCACATCAGGAGGATGTCCCAAAGATGACCAAAGGCGCGGTCGAAGAGGAGGGTCTTGAGACGGGCCTTGAAGGAGGTGAGGGAGGGAGTGGGAGGACGAGGTGGAGAGGTCCGGGATGGAGGAAAGTGGCCTAAAATTGGCCGGTGGATTATGGAGAGAGGATCTACGTAGCTTGTCTCAGGTTTCCTGGAGAAATCAGCTGTTTTGAGTCTCCATTTCATCTCTCCCTGAGGAGGCAATTAATAGTCTCACATATGTAGGACACATGTCTGAGTGTGTCTCGTCAGCCTGGCCACTTGTTGTACATTTATTGTACACACAATACTTTGTCAAGCAGACCTGAATGCCAGGCGCTGACTCCCATCTGGGACCACATCACAATGAAAGAGTTTGTTTTAAATGGCACATTGTGGAGCTGCTGCTCAAACCCTCGGTTTCTCATTGACGGAACGTCAGGTTGGAACATTTTGCGACAGCTGAGAGACACTGTTCCTTAGAAACTCTTACACCCGCACCCACCTGACCACTTCCCCCTTCCCCCCTCCCCCTCCCGCCCCATCTCATTGGATTAGTGAAAGTTTCCATCTCTTACAGCAAACCCAGCTGTGTTGGATTCCAAATCTGACTCAATAATCTTCACCGCTTCTTCATTTCCCCTTTGATTCTGAATTGGGTCATTGTTGGCACGTATGCGAACACACACATGTGTACACAGACATATATGTACATATACACACACACACTTACACACACACAAATATGCACGCAGACATACATACACACGCACATATATGTACATACACTTATACACGCACAAATATGCACACACATGTAGACACATGCAGATACGTACACGGTTTATGCTCCAGTGCCCTTGTGAGCATTTCGCAGCTAATGAATAGTTCTGAGCTGAATAGATCCATGGTGACACCTGTAATAGTTCTGTAGCTCAGTGGTTAGAGCACTCGCTTTGCAAGCGAGACACCTGAGTTCAATTCCAGACAGAGGGCGAAACCTTGGGCAAGTTTCCTTACTCCACACATCTAATAATAATCCCTCCAAAACCAAAAAAAAAATTTGTCATTTTCAATCCATGACTGTTTGTGGGACATTGCTGTGCACAATTGGCTGCCGCGTTCGCTCAAACATACAGTCAATTCACTTTACAGTTTATTCTATGAAGCGCTTTCAGATGTCGAGAAGACGTGAAAAGCGCTATATCAAATGTAAGGATTATTATTATAATAGACCCTAAAGGAAACAGAGCAGTAAGAACTATCCAACATTATCATATAATCCAGCAGTTAATATTTGATTCAATGAGGGGGAGGTGGATTCCTGGCAATGATGGGGGTGGGGATTGTATTGACTGTATATTTTTGTGGGTGAAATGTGGAGGCAATTGTGCACAGCAGCGTCCCACAAACTTATCATGGATTTAGTGACCAATTTTTTTTAAATGTGCTAAAGTCAATGAAATGATTTCTCCAGGAAACCTGAGACAAGCCACGTGGATCCTCTCTCCAGAATCCACTGGCAAATTTTAGGCCACTTTCCTCCATCCCTGAGCCCCTCCGCCACGCCCCTCCCTCACCTCCTTTAAGGCCCGTCTCAAGACCCTCCTCTTCGACCCATCCCCCACCAAGCTGGGCCAGTGAGGGTGTTCTGACATAGCCAACACAGTCACCAACAACAACAACTTGCATTGATACAGCGCCTGTCACACAGAGTAACGTCCCGAAGCATTTAAGAGATAACAAGAGGGTACAGGGGAGGTTTTAGTGCTGGTATTTGGCTCAGACTATATATCAAGCCTGTCAGACTGTGGAGACTGTGGGATAGGTTTGCCTGTTATTACAAGGCCATAACACGGCAATAAAAGCCTTAAAACAAGGTGAGTCAGCCTGGCTCAGTCAGTAACACTCCTCTTAATCAGAGGGTTGTGGGTTCAAGTTTCATGTTGGAACATGAACTCACATAGTCTAGACTGACACTTCAATACATTATCGGAGATGCCGTCCTACGGATGAGATGTCAAACCATTGTCCTGTCTGCCTGTTCAGGTGGATGTTAAAGATCCGCGGTGCTATTCGAAAAGATTCTGCTTTTCTCTCTCTCTCTCCTGGTATCCTGGTGTCCAATAATCCCCCAAATAAAATTGGTCACTCACTGCATGGCTGTTTGTGTGATATCGCTGTGTGGGAATTAGGTACCTCATTCATCTACAAATACACAGTCACTGCACTTCACAGCATATCAACAACAACAACAGATTGCATTTATACAGCGCCTTTCACATTGGGAGGATGTCCCAAAGTACTGGATTTGCACACAAGGTGTGGTTGGGATCAAGGGGTGGGGTGGGTGTAGGAGGTGTAGTCTCTGTGGGACTGAAGGTTTTTTTATCTCTGTCTAAGGCTGGGTGGATTTTTAGGTGTTCAGCAATAATAATAATACTTGATTTGATACAGTACCTTATCATTTCATTGACTTTATCACATTTTAAAAAAAATTGGTCACTCAATCCATGATAAGTTTGTGGGACGCTGCTGTGCGCAATTGGCTGCCGCATTTCACCCACAAAAATATACAGTCAATTCACTTTATAGTATAATCTGTGAAGCACTTTGAGATATAAGGTGTTATATCAAATGCAAGGATGATGATGATTGAAACGTCTCAAAGGGCTTCACAGAATATACTGTAAAGTAAATCGACTGCATATTTTGTGAGTGAAATTGGGCACAGCAGCGTCCCAAAACAGTCATGGATTGAGTGACCAAATGGATAGATTATTACCTTTGGAAAGTGATCCACCAATTGACTAACAACCTACTTACTGCAACTGTGTGGAGTAAAGAAACTTGCCTTAGGTTTTGTCCGGCCCGGAAATCAAACCCAAGTCCTCTCACTTGCGAGGCGAGTGCTCTAACCACTGAGCTACAGGATTCCATGTTTAGTAGCTGAACACGGTCTCTGCTTCATTCCTGTGCTTCCTTCCTTCTCTGTCTACTTGGCGGGGGTAGTTTTCATTCGTTTTCAAATTACTTAATTCCCTGACACCTCCCTACCTCTCCGATCCCACTCCATCACCCGCTGCCTCCGTTCGACTGGCTCCGGCCTCCTGTTTATCTCTCGTCCCCTCTGTTCCACCATTGGTGGTCGGGCCTTCAGCCATTACAGCCCAAAAATCTGGAACTCTCTCCCGCAACCCCTCCCTCCGCTTTTCCCCCTCCCTCCCCACTTTCAAATTCCGCATAAAAAGACCTTCCCTTTTGATTGTGCTTACGGTCACCTCCCCCCTCCCTCTCCCCCGCGGCTCGGGGTCAGACTCTGCCACTGGCAAGCGCTCCAGGATGCTACCGTCCGCGTGTAGGGTGTGATATGAAAGCAAGTTGTTGTTGTTGAAGTTGTTCTGGAGGCTGCCACATTCTGGCCACTCTGAAACCTTCAATAGCAAGAGTAAATCGAGTGCTTGTTGGGATTTCAGCCCTAGGGCATTTCAACAATTACATAAGTCCTGTAGTCCTATGGAGTTATAGAGTCCTGTAGTGGTTAGAGCACTTGCCTCGCAAGCGAGAGACTTGGGTTTGATTCACTGCAGAGGGCAAAATCTTGGGCAAGTTTCCTTACTCCACACGCCTGATAATAATCGCTCAAGAAAAAAAACACAATAATAAAAAAATTGGTCACTTCAATCTACAACTGTTTATGGGACGCTGCTGTGCGTAATTGGCTGCCGCGTTTCACCCACAAAATACAGTCAATTCAGTCCATTCTGTGAAGCGCTTTGAGACATCTATAAACGTGAAAAGCACTATATCAAATGCAAGGATTATTATTATTATTATTAAGTCAAATCTCTTCCAACCAGCTGGTCAGTAATACTGTCAAGGAGACAAAGACACGTCTTAAATCGGCATGAGGGAATGTCATTGGTTACACAGCAAGGCCATAACGTCACTGGCTTAAACCTCTGAACTTTTCGTTCCTGTGTTTATTTATAATGACAGCTGGGAAAGTCCAGGCTTCAGTCCAGACTGAGGTCAATGAAAAACTAAACAGCTAACACACACTTGGCAGATAGTCTCAGTGAGGAACAAAGTTTAATGTCCTCTTAATAACTCGCCTCTTACCACAATAACGGTAGTCCTTGCAGCTGATGTAGCACCTGATCCCATTGGGACACCTCAAAGTGCTTCACACGATTTCCCGCAGATTGCAGTGACTGAGTATTCTATAGGCAAGATAGCGGCCAATTTGGTCACAGCGACATCCCACAATCAGCCATGGAGTGAGTGACCAACTTTATCTGGGGGATTTTCAAAATTATGAGGGGATTCGATAGGGTGAACAAGGCAAAACTGTTTCCACTGGTGGGCGGGTTGATAGCCCGAGGACAGCGATTTAAAATAGTCGTTAAAACAAACAGGGGAGGTGAGGAGAAATGTTTTCACACAGCGAGTTGTTGGGATCTGGAATGCATTGCCTGAAAGGGTGGGGGAGGCCGATTCAATAACAACTTTTAAGAGAGAAGCAGATAATTATTTGGGGAGGACAAGTTTGCAGGGCTATGGGGAGAGAGCGGGGGAGTGGGGTTGATGAAGGCTATGGGGAGAGAGGGGGGAGTGGGGTTGATCAGGGCTATGGGGAGAGAGTGGGGGAGTGGGGTTGAGGGCTATGGGGAGAGGGGGGGGAGTGGGGTTGATCAGGGCTATGGGGAGAGGAGGGGAGTGGGGTTGATCAGGGCTATGGGGAGAGAGGGGGAGTGGGGTTGATCAGGGCTATGAGGAGAGAGTGGGGGAGTGGGTTGATCAGGGCTATGGGGAAAGAGCGGGGGAGCGGGGTTGATTTGGAAGCTCTTTTCAAAGAGCTGGCCAGACACGATGGGCCAAATGGCCTCCTTCTGTGTAATTCTGATTGTTTGCCAGAACGCTGGGAGAGAGAAATCTCCCTTTTCTATTCCAAAAGCACTGCGGGATCTTTAACGTCCACCTACTGAACCTCTCATCCAGCAATATATTTTGCAGATGACCAAGTGATTGTCTGGCAGATATGATATTTTTATCAGAATATAAATGAGATGTAAGGACTGCCTTGCGAAGGCAGAGAGGGCCTAACGGAGAGGGCTTAACTGTATTTGTAACCACCCGCTATTTTCCAGGAACATTGCAGTTGCTGTTTTGTGTGTGTGTCTCGGTGTCTGTGTGCTCTCCCTGCTCCGGGGCTGAGAGCTGAGCTCTGCCTGTGGCTCTGGAGGTGACCCTGGTACAGCCAGCGAGAGCCCTGGCCAGAACACATGTCACCACATTCAACTTCTGTCAACCGCCTGCCTGCTAAAGTCCCTTATAAATAGCCTGTGTAAGTGCCGATTGCATTACCCGCTGGCCCAAGTGAGACCAAATCTTATATAAGGTCAGACACCGCGAAGGAACCACTTACCTCAGCGAGCGCCTCGCAGACCAGCTGTGGGGAGAACGTGGGCCTCAGGCCGCCCTCTCCCGGCTCTGCCCTGGGCTGCCCGGCCTCTGCTCCGTCCTTGGGCCATGCAAGCGAGGAGGTGAAGTGGACCCCCTGGTCAGGTCCTTTGTCAGGCCCTCGTGCGGAGCTCACACCAGAGTCCTGCAGGTCTCTCCCCTCGCTGGGACCGACCTTGTCTCCCACCGAGGGCTGTGGCCTCCTACTAACAACACGCAGGTCACATGTCTCTCCGGTTTCCGTCTCCATGATGACCGAGGGCATCGTCATGTCTGTATCAGTCCCCGACGTTTCCATGGTCTGAAGCTCCTCAGACGCCTGTTTGGAGGCACAAGCCCTCGCTGGGGCCTTCAGGTCAGGAGGTGGGGAGAAGCTCTCGCTCAATCTCTTCCCTCTGTTGCCCGCACGGTCTGGGAGCCAGGAGCCGGCCTCGTCACTGCCTCCCTGAGGCTTCTCCTCCTGCTGGGAAGCCTGGATCGTGTCTAAGTACATGTCCCTCATGGAGAAGTACATGACCTGGGCAGGATCTTGCTCTCTGGGAGCCTCTGGGCACTGGCTGGCGCTCCAGTCTCCATTGCTTGGAGCCCGAGTCACCTCAGCGTGTGGGCCTTTGGAAGTCTGCCCTTTCAATCGATCCTTCTCACATCCCACACTCACACCTTCCGGGCTGGGAGGTGGTGAAGAGACGTCTTTCAGCCCCAGAAGCACTGAAGACAGAGGGGCATCAACATCCATCCCATCCTCAGCTTTCGATGGTTTGACATCGTCCCCTGATTTGCTTCTCTTCAAAGTATCTGAGAAGTACTGGGACAGGCTTCCCGACTCCTTGCTCCCGTTGATGCTATTCTCATTGCAGAAGCCTTGAGGCTTGTCCTCGGTGATCACAGCCGGCAGCTCGCTCTCTTCCGCCTTGTCTTCCAAGAGTTTCCTTTTCTTCTTCTTGGCTGCAAACTCCTTGCTCGTGGGTTTGGCCGTCACCATCTCCACCGTCTTGTAAATGTAGTCCATGAACGAAATCCCATTCTCCACCGGGTTTTCCTGCAAATTCTTCACCGAAGCTTCCCTGGCATCTTCCTTGGCGTTGAGCCTGACCCCTTGGGGGCCTCTTACGTAGCCATTGTGGACCTCGGAGAAGGGAATGGGCGGTTTGTCCGACACTCCGGCCCTGGGCGTAGTGGCCGGTCGATGGTGTAGCCTGGTCTCGGGGTCTGGGAGTAACCCTTTGAGCTTCTCCTCTGTGTTGCCCACCGAGCTGGCTGACACCGAGCTGGCTGACACCGAGCTGGCTGACACCGAGCTGGCTGACGCCGTGCGGGCCTGACCGTACGACTTGCGTTTGCGCTGAGCCTTCTCCGGATTCACCGTCCGCAGGAGATCCACGCGTTCGTCGCTGGGAGCTCGTTGCATGTTCTCCTTGCCCCGCTCCAGCTCCCGCCGCTTGGCCTCCGCCTTCTGCTTGAGTTTGCCAAACCAGCGCTGGTGGATCTTGTACTCGCTCATGGTGCCCACCTCCAGGATGCCGGAGCACGACACAATCCCTTTGCTGTTCCGGGCCGACGCCTGGTAAATGGCAGCGTCCTCCTCCGTACACCTGCCGGCAAAACACACATCAGTCAGTCAGTCTGACCCTCTTCTCGACTCAGCACCACAGCCAATACAATCCCTCACGATGGTATGAGTTATAATAATAACCCTGCAAACCATAGTCCTAATAGGGTGGTCCTAGCTGGACAAGCAGTGAGTAAGCTGGCCACATAATGCTCTCAATGGCAAGCTATGTAGTTTTGGCTGGTTAGCAGTTACCAACGCATACTATGGGGTCTCCAATCCTTGGCTCTTGCCAACCTGTGCCTAATACTTTCCGGAATTAGGTAAGCAGAGAGAGAGAGAGAGAGAGTGCATTCCATTTCAACAATCTATCTCTAGGATTGCCATGTGTCGGTGGGAGGCCTGGAATTCTCAGCTTGGTTTGGAGACTCTTAAGCAACGGTGGTGGGTTTCTGCACGAGTCTGACACCCGGCTGGGCAAAATAATAATAGATAATAATAATCCTTGCATTTGATATAGCGCCTTATCATATAATGATATGATGCTTCACAGAATACTCTGTAAAGTGTAGTGAAACGAGGCAGCCAATTGCACACAGCAGTGTCCCACAAACAGTCATGGAGTGAGTGATCAAATTATATTTTTGCCCACAAAATACACAATCATTTTAGTTTACAATATATCCTGTGAAGCACTTTGAGACGCCTCAACGATGTGATAAGGCGCTATATCAACAACAAGATTACATTTGTATAGCACCTTTCACGTCGGGAGGGCGTCGCAAGGCGCTGGACAGTGACAGCATTTCAGATGCAAGAATTATTATTATTTTATTTTATTTGTGGTCAGCCGAGCGTCTGACACACACGTAAACACACCACCGTGCTTAAGAGTATCCAAACCAAACTGAGAGTTCCATGTGTATATGCACCTACACGAGGAAATTCTTGTGTCTGGAATGGAACGCGCACTCCCTCCCTGGAGAGATGAAACCTGCTTACCTAATGATATTGTATTGGGCACAGGTTGGCGAGAGTCAAGACTTGCGGAACACCAGAGTGCGCGCTGGGGTAACTGCTGGAGTCTGAACATGCCAACCCCGCATAGCTTGCTATTGAGAGCACTATCTGGCAAACTTTCCCGCTGCTTGTCCAACTAGGACCACCATTAGGGCTTTGGCTGCAGGATTAACAGGAGCTGAGTAGGAGGATTCCATGCCCCTGATGACTGCACAGTAATAGACATACAGATAGGAGGGTGTGCCCTCAGCGGTTAGTGAGGGACAGGTTGGCATAAACAAAGACCTTCAGTTACAGATGACAGATTGAGCACAGGTTCATTATTCCAGGCAACGACTACAAAAACTAGCCTTAATATACAGCCCTCCTACCTCCCCACCCTTTGCCCTCCATCCCTCTGCAATCCGAACCCTCAGCTTGGGTGCAAACCCCTCATTGTCCAGCACCTTTGGACATCCTCCCGATGTGAAAGGGGCTATATAAATGCCATTTTGTTGTTGTTTGCTGATGTCTCAGAGTCGCTGAGCAATGATAGCAAGCATAGAATGTAAACGTATGTTAATTGGCAAAATATTGGAATAATAAACAAAGGGAGAGGTTAGGAAAATATTTCTTTACACAGAGGAACCACATAATAGTCCTTGCATTTATATAGCATCTTATCACTTCATCGAGGCATCTCAAAGCGCTTCACAGGATATACTGTAACAACAACAACAAAATGACATTTATAGAGCATCTTTCACGTCGGGAGGATGTCCCAAGGCACTGTCAGGGGTCAGGACCCGAGCATGGAGGGGGAGGGCTAGGGTAGAAGTGAGGGAAGGCAGAGAGGTGGGAAGGCGACTGAAGGCACGATCGAAAAGGAGGGCCTTGAGACCGGCCTTCAAGGAGGCAAGGGAGGAAGCGATGAGAAGGGACTGTGGGATGGAGTTCCAGAGTGTGTGGGCAGACAGGCTGAAAGGGCGGGTAGGGCGGGTTGGGCGGGAGACATGGAGCAGGCTGAATGGAGGGAGTCAGCAGGTCAGAGAGGTAGGAGGGGGCAAGAGCGTCGATGGCCTTGAAAGTGAGAACGAGGATCTTGAATTCAATTCACTGATAGATGGGGAGTCAGTGGAGGCGAGGGTGGGAGTGATGGGGTCATGGAGCCAGGTGCATGTAGTAACTGTGTATTTGTGGGTGAAACGCAGCAATCAGTTGCGCAAAACAATGTCCCACACATAGCCATAGAGTGAGTGACCAATTTTATTTGGGGTATTGTTGGCCAGGACTCCCTTCTCTTTTTGAATAGTGCCATGAGATCTTTAAGATCCATCTGAACAGATGGGACCTCAGTTTAACATCTCATCTAAAGGGCAATGCTCTGAAAATGCAACACTCCCCCAGCACTGCATTGGAATGTCAGCTTAGACGATGTGTCCTGACATTGGGCTTGAACCCACAACCTTTTGATTCAGAGGGGAGAGCCCTATCATTGAGCCACATTGAAACACAGAAATTTACAGCAAAGAAGAAGGCCATTTGGTCCATCATGTCTGTGTGGCTCCCTCAGAGAATCCTTTCAGTCATTTCTGCCCCTTTCCCCCCCAACCACCCCCATTCCCCCGTAACATCTCAAAACTCGGCACAGCCATGTCAGCTGCCCTTCTGTACTCACTTGAAGACATGAAGAGAATGCTTCTTTCCATTGCGGAATATTTGATATTTGGGAAGTCCACAATATCGGTCCATCTCCATGTCATCCTTGTACCATGTGACCTCTGGCTCTGGGTAACCTACAGCAGAACAGACTCTGGGGTTAGACACTGTCACCCATACCCGGTTGTGAACTAGGTGTTAATTGATTGGCGGATCGCTTTCCGGGGAGTAATAATCCCTCCGTAAAAAAATTAGTATAATAGTAATAATAATAATCCTTGCATTTGATATAGCGCTTTTCACGTCTTCGAGACGTCCCAAAGCACTTCACAGAATATACTGTAAAGTGAATTGATTGTATTTGTCGGTGAACGCGGCAGCCAATTGGGCACAGTAGTGTCTCACAAACAGTCGTGGATTGAAAATGACCAATTTATTATTGTTTTGTTTTTTGAGGGATTATTATTAGGCTCTGTGTGGAGTAAGGAAACTTGCCCAAGGTTTCACCCTGACGGGAATCAAACCCAGGTCTCTCGCTTGCAAAGCGAGTGCTCTAACCACTGAGCTACAGGACCGTGTTATGAGTGTAAGTGTCTGTGTGCGAGTTTGTATGCGTGTGCCTGCGTGTGTATGTGAAGGTGTTTCATTAACCAACAATGATAATATTAATTTGGTCACTCAATACATGACTGCTTGTGGGACACCACCGTGCGCAATTGACTGCCGCGTTTCGCCCACAAAATACACAGTTTACAATATATTCTGTGAGGCGCTTTGAGATGTCTAACAACGTGATAAGGCGCGATATGAAATGCAAGGATTATTATTTTTTATTATCATTAAAATGGCTGAAAATCAAACCAGCATACCAAACAGTTGCAACCTAGCAACCATTCTCATTGTGGTGAGGGTATGGCGGGTTCTTCGTAATAGAAAAATACTGTGGCAGAAATAAATGAAGCCAAATAAATCCTATTGTGTTTCATCAACAGAGCTCGAACTGGGCCTGGAACGGTGGTGGAGGCAGAATCTGCAGAATCTGCTTAGGTGAAGTGGATTTGATAGGAACCTGAATGAGACTTGGGCGAAGATACAACTTAGGTGATTATACAATTTATAACGATACAACAACAACTTGCAGTTATATAGCGCCCTCCACACAGGGAGGCATCTCAGAGCGCTTAACCATGACAGGGTCTGACTCCGAGCCGGGGGAACGGGGTGGTGGGGGGAGGCAGCAGGTGACTGTAAGCACGGTCGAAGGTGGGGCTTGGAAGACGGAAGAGAGGGGGCAAGGCAGAGTGTTCAGAGTTTCAGGGTGTAGTGGCTGAAAGAGCAACCTCTGATGGTGGGGCGGAGGGTGTGAGGGACGAGCAGGAGCCGAGGCCAGTCGAGCGGAGGCACCGGGTGGTGGATTGAGGAGTGAGGAGGTTGTAGAGGGAGGGAGGTGTCAGGGAGTGAATGGATTTCAACACGAGTGTGAGGATCTTGAAGTCGATCTGTTTGGTGATGGGGAGCCAGTGGAGCCTGGGCCAGAACTGGTGAGATGTGGGTAGGGAGTTTGGTTCGGGTCAGTATGTGGGCGGCAGCGTCTGAATGAGCTGATCTTGTGAATAGTAGAGCTGGGGAGACCGGCGAGGAGTGAGTTGGAGGGAGGTGATAAACGTATGCACAAGGGGTTTCGGCTGCATTAGGTACGGTCGGAGGTGGGCAATGTGGCGGAAGTGGAGGAAGGCGGTCCTGGTCAGGGACCGGATGTGGGGGAGGAAGGACAGCTGGGGGAGTCGAACCGGACGCCTAGATTGTGCACTGGTTCGGTGAGCCTGAGGGAGAACCCAGGGAGGTTGCGGAGTTCAGATCCGCAGAAGTGAAAACGGTGACGGGAGCCAAGGAGTATGGCTTCCATCTTGTCCATATTCAGCTGCAGAAAGTTTACACTCGTCCAGGCCCCGATATCTGCCAGAAAGCTGATAGAACATCAGGGACCTGAAGTCAATGCTGCAGGAGGAATAGTAGATTTGTGTGTCATCCGCATACATGTGAATGTTTACCCGGTGTCTGTGGATGACATTGCTGAGAAGGAGCATATAGATAAGGAAAAGAAGAGGCCAAGGATGGAGCCCTGGGGTACCCCACAGGTGACTGGCGGGGGCGGGAGGAGAAACTATTACCAAGATGAAAGGGAGGAGGTTGGTTAAGGTAGGACTTAAACCATATGAGTACAGTCCCACTAAGGTGGATGAGGGAGGAGAGGCAGTGGAGGAGGATGGCGTGGTTGACTGTGTCGAACGTGACAAGAGAGATCCAGGAGGACGAGGAGGCAGAGGGAGCCCTGGTCACAAATAGAGAGAACATTGTTTGTGATTTTGACAAGCGCTGTCTCTGTGCAGCTGAGGCGAAAACCAGACTGGAGGGACTCGAGGAGGGAGTGGAGGGAGAGTTGCGACTGAAGTTGACCTGCAACAATGCATTCCAGGACTTTGGCAAGGAAGGGCAGGTTGGAGATGGGACAGTAGTGTGCGAGATTAGAGGAATCGAGGGTGGGGGTTTTGAGGAGGGGGGTGATGATAGGGGTTTCAGAGGGAGTGGAACAGAGCCTGAGGAGAGAGAGACTAGTTGACGGTACCAGCCAGCAGGGAGAGAAGAGGGGGAGTTGAGTGACCAACAGCTGGGTGCAGAGGGGGTCGAGGGAGCAGTTAGTGAACTTCATCCAGGTGATTGTGGTTGAGAGGGAGGAGGGAGAAATGGGGTCAAAGGAGTATAAGGAGTGGGGAGTGCTAATAGCTGTGGCAGAGGGAGAAGGTGGTGTGGATGGTCTGGGTGGGGGGGACATGGGGAGGATGCAGCCAAGTAGATGTTTGCAATCTTTAAGACAAAGAAGTCTAGGACCTCTTCGCACCTGGCATTTGATGTGAGGATTGAGGGGGCTTGAGGGGGTGCACGGAGGAGGTGATGGACAGTGGAAAACAGCGTCTTGGGTTGTTGTTTGCACCAGGATGACTTTGGAGTAAAAGTCAGTTGTGGCCTGTGAAAGGGAGAGGTGGAGGGTGAGGAGGAGCTCGAGCCACAGCTGGGCTGAATCATGAGACACTATTTCTGCCATCTGCTCGAGTGTCCGGGTTTGTGTTTTGAGTGAGCGGACATGACTGTTGTACCAGGGGGAGCGGGTGGGTTTGGAAACAACCCTGGATTTCAGCGGAGCCAGGGAAGATAAGACTTTAGTGAGATTTTTGCATAAAATCATAATCCTCGTGTTCCATATCGCACCTGGAACAATAAATAGTTTTAAGTGTAGTGACCGTACACTTGTTGATAACTGCGGCAGCCAATATACGTGCAGCAATGTTCCACAAAAAGCCATGAAGTGAATGAATCAGAGAATCCTAGACATTTACGGAACAGCAGAGGCCATTTGGCCCATCTAGCCTGTCCCGCTCTCAGAGCAAGCTGTTCATTCAATCACACTGCCCTGTCCTATCCCCACACCACTCCAAGCCTCTGACCATCAAATTCCCTCTTCAAACCCACACTGACCTCTGCCTCTCCCACCTTGGTAGGGGTTCCCAGCCCTGAGTGAAAACATTCTCCTGAACTCTCTTTATCTTATAATTATGACTCGAGTCACTGACTCTTCAGCCAGTGGAGATACCACTGGGGGATTGTTGGCCAGGACACCGGGAGAGAGAAACTCCCTTCTCTTTTCCAATAGCGCCGCAGGATCTTTAACATTCCCCTGAACAGGCAGAAGGGATACGGGTTTAACGTCTGATTTAAAGGATGGCACCTCCACCAATGCAGAGCTGAGTTGAAATGTCATCTTAGACTGTGAGCAGTGAGAAGCCGTCCAGCGTGAAGGGCGCTATATAAATACAAGTTGGTGTTGTTGAGCTTAAAGTTTTGTTGTGGGGACTTGAACCCCCAACCTTCTAACCCCAAGGCAAGAGAGTTACCAACTAAGCCAGGTTGACAGTGGCAGTCAGTCCCTGCGCTGTACGTACACAGGACTTAACAAGGACACAACCACAACGATCAGATCCTTTCATCTCAGGTGAAACAATGTGGTGTTTTCCTGTGGCTAATCTCCTGTGCTGTTAGGGGAGGCTTGTGGTAGGCTGTGTAACCAGAGTCCATGACAGGTGCTTTACGTGCGTTCCAGGAGGCTGTGAGTTCTGGGAATATTCTGGGAATTCTCTTATCTTCCCATGGCCTGTGTCTGCTTCCTCCCGGCCGGTCTAAGTCACACGCTGAGGTCTATAAATAAGGCCTTGTGGCTTTGTCATGTTGATATTTTCCATTGTGTAACATTGTAAACAAGTTAGAGTTGGTCACACAGCAGCTCAGCTTTCAAACTCCAGCCATCACGCGGCAGCCAATTCTCTGTCCTATTAGCAGAATGAGTCAGAACCTTTCTGAACAGAGGTCACGGTTGGGTGTCTAAACGCGTCCGAGGTCCCGTGTATATTGTAGTCATAAAATAATAATCCTTGCGTTTGATACGGCCCTTACTGCATCATCAAAACGTCTCAGGCTTTCACTGTGACTGTGTGTTTGTGGGTAATAATAATAATAATCATCATCCTTGCATTTGATATAATAATAATCCTTCTATTTGACACAGCACCTTATCACGTCATTGAGACATCTCAAAGCGCTTCACAGAATATATTGTAAAGCATAATGACTATTTTTGGGGGAAAGGCAGAAGCCAATTGTGCACAGTAGTGTCCCACAAACAGTCGTGGATTGAAGTGACCAAATTTTATTTTAATGGGTGTAGGTACGGTGGGGAAAGGCGAACAGTTCACTGATGTGTGCTGCAGTCAACCTCATCCACATCCCAGTCTAACCTGCTGAGTCTCTGTACAATAGACAACATTCAGATGACAACAACTTGCATTTAGATAGCGCCCCTCAATCAGGATAGCATCCCAGAGCACTTACACTACACAATGGAAATGTACACGATGGAAAAATAACTATCCTCCACCATCACAAAGCCACAAGGCTTTATTTGGACCTCAGAATGTGACTTAGAGAAGCCGGGAGAAAACACCCACAAGCCACGGGAAGATAAGAGAATTCCCAGAATACTCCCAGAACTGGGAAGGACAAACTTACAAGGCTATGGGGAGAGAGTGGGGGAGTGGGGTTGATTTGGAACCGCTTTTCAAAGAGCCGGCACAGACACGATGGGCTGAATGGCCTCCTTCTGTGCTGTATAATTCTATGAACTCACAGCCTCTAGGGGTTAGGCTGCTTGAACACACTTAAAGTCCCAGACTGCCATTGACACCTGCCACTTACACAGCAGAAGCCCAACCTCCCAGCGAAGGACTGAAAGAGGAACAGCACCAACAACAACAGCTTGCATTTATATAGAGCCCTTCAGGCCAGACGGCATCTTGGAGCGCTTGACAATGGCGGAGCCTGATGCCGAGCCAGGGAGAGGTGGAGGTGACCGTAGGCACGGTCGAAGAGGAAAGTCTTCGAAGGCAACCTGAAAATGAGGAGAGAGGAGGCAAGGCGAAGGGATTGAGGGAGAGAGTTCCACAGCTTCAGGGCGCAGTGGCTGAAAGCAAGGCCTCCAATGGTGGGGCAGAGGGTCTGGGGGACAAGGAGGAGACTGGAGCCAGTTGAGCGGAGGCAGCAAGTAGTGGTGTAGGGAGCGAGCAGGGAGCGAGAGATAGCAAAGGACTGAAAGAGGAACAAGCTCCTTTAGAGTGGGATCATCCCCAATTTAGAAAATGGTTTACCACGGCCTGAACTTTGAAGTCGCTTTTCTGTCAATTTCTTTTAAGAATTGATGAGAAACCGAGCTTTGAAGTTAAGGCTGAAATAGTCAGGTTGTCACTTTCTGCACACTGTGAAATGCGACGTAAACCGAGTAAATCCAGACCTGAAATTCCACCCGGTCTTAGCCTGGGAGACTGTCTTTGACTGGAAATTGAAGCTGGGGAAAGTTCTTAATATTAGTCTCCATTTGGAAGATTTTTCTGGAGTTATTAGGAAAGAAACCAGCTGTCAAATTACAGCTACCAAATCTTCCACCATTCTGCGCCACCTCACATTTTAAGCCATAATAATAATAATCCTTACATTTGATACAGTGACTTATCATTCTGTCAAAACATCTAAAAGCGCTTCACATGACATTCAAACTTCACCAGCCTGAATGCTCCCTTCGCTCAGTGGGCACTGACCTGCTCCATGACCCCTTCCTGCCTGCTCCACTATTGGCGTTCGGGCCTTCAGCCTTTCTGCCCCCATCCCGGAGCCCCTCCGCCTCACTCTCCCTTGCCTTCTTCAAGGCCCGTCTCAAGGCCTCCTTTTTCAACCATATCTTCGGGCACCGTCCTACCCCCATCCACTCCGCCCTCCACCCCTCTTGATCCCAACCCGCAGCTCAGATGTAAACACCTCATTGTCCAGCACTTTGGGATGTCCTCCCGACATGAAAGCCGCTGCATAAAAGCAATTTGTTGTTCCATTAAAATAGTACCCTCCATGCCGGGTGGGGTCCCAGAGCCCTTAAGAGGATATACTGTGAAGTGCAGTGACTGTGTATTTATAGGTGAATGAGGTACCTAATTCCCAAATAGCAATATCCCACAAACAGCCATGGAATGAGTGACAATTTTATTTGGGGGATTTTTGGCCCCTTCTTTTTTCGAATAGCACCGCGGGATTTTTACCATCCACCTGAACAGGCAGACAGGACAATGGTTTGACATCTCATCTGTAGGACGGCATCTCCGATAATGCATCACTGTATTGGAGGGTCAATACAGACTATGTGAGTTCATGTTCCAACACGAGACTTGAACCCACAACCCTCTGACTAAGAAGAGAGAGTGTTACCAACGGAGCCAGGCTGACTCACCTTATTACAAAGCTGTTATGGTCTTGTTATGGCCTTGTAATAACAGGCAAACCCATCCCACAGTCTCCACAGTATGACAGGCTTGATATGCAGTTCAAACCCAGATACCAGCACTAAAACCCCCCTGTACCCTCTTGTTACCTTCGGGACTGTACCCCTCGTGAAGGGCACTATAGCAATGCAAGTTGTTGTTGTTATTACCTCTTATTGTTCCAGCAAATGTCCTTGGATCCCAGGAGCTTGTTACTAATAATAATAATCCTCATATTTGATATAGCGCCTTATATCTTTGAGATGTATCAAAGCACTTCACAGAATATACTGTAATGTAAATTGACTGTATATTTTGTGGGCGAAACGAGGCAGCCAATTCCACACAGCAGTGTCCCACAAAAAGTTGTGGATTGAGTGATCAAATTATCTTTTTTTTCTTTTCTCCCTGAAAAGCGATCCGCCAATTGATTAACAACTGAGTTCCTACTTACTACCAGGTAAGCGTCTGTGTGGAGTAAAGAAACTTGCCCAATGTTTCATCCTGCCCGGGAATCGAACAAGAGGCCTCTTGCTTGCCAGACAAGTGCTGTAACCACTAAACTATAGCATTCCACAAATTATTACCTGCACCTTGCAATAAAGAGTTAGAAATTGTGCAATTCTGTTTCATCGCCAATTAGACTCAGCTGACGTGCACTGGAATGTCTGGAATTCCGGAATTCATGAACCTGAGCTAATTGATTTATGAAGCCCAGAAATCACACAGGAAAATTTCTGGTAAGTGTTACATAACGTCTGTTCAGTGTCACCCTTCAGGGATGTGCGGTCACAATGGGCAAATCCCACTGATATTTGCCTTGTAATAACACATATCCAGACCACAATCCCCACTGTCTGCTGGGCTCGGTATTACAGGCAGTTTTACAGTCGCATTCAACTACAAATACACAGTCAATGAACTTCACAGTATATACGCTGCTGTGTGCAATTGGCTGCCGCGTTTCGCCCACAAAACATACACTTCATAGTGTATCCTGTAAAGCGCTTTATAGAGCGCCTTTCACGTCGGGAGGACGTCCCAAAGCGACCCCGGCTGGAATTCAAGGCTCTACACTGCTCTCTCTCTGTCCGTTTTCTGGGCTCTCACCCTCTCTCTGTCTCTCTCTCTCTCAGCCTTCCACACACTTACATTCCACTGGTGCCGCCGCACCCTGGCTCCACTTTGGAGACGAGAATAAAAGCTCAGTTATCTTCATGGAAGTTAAAATAGTAAATAATCCTCAGCAGGAAGTTTATAACGATAATAATCCTTGCATTTGATACAACGCCTTATGTCTTTGAGTCACTTCAAAGCGCTTCACAGAATATTTTGTAAAGTGAATTGACTGTATTTTGTGGGCAAATCAGAACAGCCAATTGCACACAGCAGCGTCCCACAAACAGTCGTGGGTTGAGTGACCAAATCACTATCGTTATTATTTTTTTGTCCGAGTTTCTTCTGGGAAGAAATCCTTCAAAGGATTTGCTGCAAAGCATCGTGACTGTATATTTTGCAGACCCACATGGCAGCCAATTTCAACACAGCGACTTCCCACAAACTGTCATGAGGTGAATGACCGATTGTCTCTCTCCACCATCCCAGTGATGAGCAGTTACCGGATGTAACTCAAGCTTCGGATAAGCGAAGCGTTCCGATCCTGCAGCTTTTGGGGTCAAATCCACAGACTTTAGGTTTGGGTCTCGTGGACTTAAAACAGCAGATTCTTTCCGATCCGGGGTGAATTTGGAAACCGGTTACTTTTAAGCGGCTGCCCGGACTGGCTTCCAAATGAAGCCTGAACGTCTTTGCAATTTAAAATTTTAAGGCAAAGTGGTCTGAAAGACTGAGACTAGGTGGAATTTCAGCCTGGGAGTCTCGCTCAGTGGCTAATATTTTCTAAAGATACATTGCAGCCCCATTTAACGCATTCCTTTGTAGCACTGGTTCAGTTATTGCAGTGTGCACCATACTGAGAAGCTCTTTCCGATTAGTGCTCTCTCACTAAGATGGCCAACGGCCAGGTCAGCAGGTCACCTCCAGCGTCACTTCCTGTGAGCCGCTCTTGCACAAAGCAGGAAATTATGTCAATAGCGATCTGATGACCTGGAAGTCAGGCCTTTTTTTTTATAAACATAAAACGAGCCAAATGTGCAATCGACAGTGAAAGTGGCTTTCTTGGCCTTGTTGCCATGTGACGGATCACCAACGACGACCACTTTCTAAGGAAGTCACAGGAATTAGTCTCCTGCAGCTCAGTGGTTAGAGCACTCGCCTCGCAAGTGAGAGGACCTGGGTTTGATGCCTGGGCAGGGCTAAACATCGGGCAAGTTTCCTTACTCCACACGCTTCTGTTTACCTAGCAGTAAGTAGGAACCCTGTTGTTAGTCAATTGATGCATCGTTTTTCGGGAATAATAATCCCTTCAGAAAAATATATTAAAAAAATAATTTGGTCACTAAATCTATGACTGTTTGTGGAACAGTGCTGTGTGCAATTGCAGCCGCGTTCTGCCCACAAAATATACAGTCCATTCACTTTACAGTATATTCTGTGAAATGCTTTGAGATGTCTCGAAGACGTGATAAGGCGCTATAACAAATGCAAGGATAACTATTATTAGATAGAAGTCTTGCACCATCCTGCTTTGAGCTCACATTACTCGTATTGAGGTGTCAATAACTTACCTGTGACAATGCAGTGAAACTTGACGTCGTTGTCCTCAGATACCGCACGGGATTTCAACGTTGTTTCAAAACAAGGCTGAGTCTCTTCAGTGAGATGAGCCATGATGGTGCAGAAGGTTTGCCTGAAAGGAAACATGAGAATTAATAACAAATAATCCTATTTCTGATACAGTACTTCACTTAGAAACCAAGTGTCTCAGGAGAAAAAAAGGGAGTTTAATCATCCTTGTCTGAGTTGGAACCCTTTGAAGGTAACTTTAATATCCTTGAATTCTCAGTCTAGACTCTTGGTCCAGTGCAGTGCTATTTGGAGCGCCACATTGTCAGAGGTGCCGTCTTTCAGACGAGATCAGATCAAACCATGACCTGCCTGTTCAGGGGGACATTAAAGATCCTGTCACACTATTTGGAAAGAGTCTCTCCCGGTGTCCAAGTCAACAGAAGAATGAATCATTCACTTCATGGCTGTTTGTGGGACGTTGCAGTGTGCAAATTGGCTGAAGCGTTCTGCGGAGGAAGAGCAGACCTGCCAGGCTTCTATACTCATAAAGACAAAATATCTATGTATCTGTCCGCCAATAACGCAACAACTGATTGGCATAGAGACATGATTTATAACTCATCAGAAGGGTCTGGTAAGTGGAGTGTCATGGGCATATTTTGTTTCAGCAATCTCCTATCATTTATTTAAAAAATGCTTTAATTGAGTCCTAAAATATGAGATAAGCATGGTATTCTGCAGCAAAGTAGCGACAAAGGAAATCTCACACTTTTCTAGAAAGATACATGTATACTAATAAAGGCCAAATGTCTGTTTGTGTGTTTGTCCGCCAATAATGTAATAACCGATTGACGTAGAGACATGATTTATATATCATTGGAAAGGTCTTGCATGGGGGAGTGTATGGGCATATTTTTCGGGGGAATCTCCTATCGTTATAAGAGCATAAGAAATGCTAGACAAAAAAAGACCAAGGTTATCTAGTTCGCCTTCCACCTTCCTGGCGGTCGCGTGCATGTCTGGACTACCTTTGTACTATATCAATAATGTATAATAATATAAAATATAATAATATCAAGTATAACACAACAACAACAACAAGATTACATTTGTATAGCGCCTTTCACGTCAGGAGGACATTCCAAGGCGCTGGACAGTGTACAGGATTTCAATAATAATACAATTATAAAAACTTTATAATAATATAAAGTAAACAAGCTCATCGCACATGTATGGCAGTTTTGCTTAAGGTGTAGACACAGTATTTATGGCATGTTAAATGGTTTATGAGTGGGTATCACTGAAGTCTACATTCCGTATTGGATCCTTTGATTGCAAGCGTTGCTGCAACAGTTACGACTAGTCTTTATTAATAATAATTCTTGTTTTTGATATCGGGCCTTATTACTTCATTGAGACGTCTCAAAGTACTTCACAGATTATACTGTAAGTGTAGTGACTGTGTATTTTGTGGCCGTATCACAGCAGCTAATTGCGCACAGCAGCGACTCACAAACATCATGGATTGAGTGACCAATTTTTTTTTAAGAGGGAATATTACCCGCAGAAAGCAATTCGCTAATCGACTAACAACCTGCTTCCAAATTACTGCCAGGTAAACAAAGGCGTGTGGAGTAAGAAAACTTGCCTAAGGTTTCACCCAGCCCGGGAATCAAACCCAGGTCCTCCCACATGTGAGGCGAATGCACTAACCACCACACTACGGGACTCTACTCAATCGCTCTGAAGCACATCCCTGGAAGTTCGTGGTGGATGTCAGTTAGGGAGCTGGACCCAGGAGATACAGCGCTGGGGCCTTTCAGAAGGATCAACTAGTGTTCAGAGGGAGAGAACAGTTAGTGGATACATTGGCAAAGCTCATGTGCTTTTAAAAGAGCAAAGTTGGGTTTCACTGTGTGGTTAGTTGAGGTGGCTGGCTCAGTGTGCTGAGTGGCTAGTGAGGTAGGTAGGATGGGATGCTCAGTAGTACTGCTGTAATGACTGCAAAAGGTGAAATGTCACTGTGTGTTGGTGGGGGGGTGGGGGGAGTTCTGTAAAGTTATCTCAGTCACTTACAGTGGGGTTGACGCAGCTCGCCACTGGCAGGAAAAATAATGATTTTCGTTAGCAGCCCATCCTGTGTCTAGGTTTTTTTTTGCCTAACGCACGCCAAAGCCCATCACCATGCTTAAAGAGTCTTCAAACCAGACTGAGAGCGCCACATCTGTTGGCACATGGAAATTTCCCTGTGTCTGTAATGGAACGTGCACTCTCTGACTGAGGGACACATCCTGCTTACCTAATTTCCATGTGTATTAAGCACAGGTTGACAAGAGCCAAGGCTTGGAGATCCCAGAGTGTGCAATGGAGTCTAACCAGCTAAAACCGCATAGCTTGCCATTGATATCGCTGTCTGGCAAGCTTTCCCGCTGCTTGTCCAGCCAGGACCACCCTACCCGTTAGGGCTGTAGGGTTAACGGGAGCCAATTGGGAGGATTCCCTGCCCCCAGCCTGGTGTTGTAAGTTAAAATGCAGTCAGGGCCATAAATGAGGCTGGTTCCTGGAATCCCAGTGAACAACAGCAACATCTCAATATGATCAAAGAGTTTCTCTGACAGCGATGTTTTCCACCAGCTGCCTCAGTCCATAAGATCCCAACATAAATGGCGATTACCTTACACGGAGACCTAGCAATCCTTACAGTGAACTGTCTGTTCTCATGCCTTGCCCTTGCACGTCCAGGGCATAACATTCAATCATTTGCTCATTGCGTAATGCTGGCTTGGTCATGTGATGGGTTGCAGAGAGAGAGAGAGAGAGGAGGGGAGAGAGAGAGTGATCTTTGCATCCACCTGAACCCCACAGGTTCAATCATTTACATGGTTCTGCTCTGCTTCTCTGTTACCGGATGCTGTGATTGAGGTGTATAAAATAATGACAGGAATTGACAGGTTAGAGAGTGGACGACTCTTCCTTCTGCTAGAGGGATCAAGCCTTAAACTCAGAGCGGGGGTGAGTTTAAGGCTCTGTCCCTTGTAATGACCAAATAAAATTGGTCACTCACTCATGACTATTTATAGGACATTGCTGTGCGCAAGCTGGCTGCCACATTTCGCCCATAAAATACACAGTCAAAACCACTTTCCAGTATATTCTGTGAAGTGCTTTGAGACGTCTCAACGACGTGATGAGGCGCTAAATCAATTGCAAGGATTATTATTATCCCTCTAGCAGAAGGAAGAGTCTTGTTGGACCTCCATCCTGGAGTCTCTTCGACTCGCTCCTTCACTCCCTGCCCTCTTTCAAGGCTTGTCTGAAAATATACCTCTTTGACCATACTTTCTTTTATCTTTCCCCTCCCCACTTCCACCCCTCAACTCCCACCCCCAGCTCAGGTATCCAGCCAGCACTGTGAAACACTTTGAGACTTCCTCCCAACGTAAAACGTGCCGTGTAAATGTAAATGGTATTGTATTGTGTATGGCTCATAAAGTATCTTAAAAGACAGAGAAATAGCATCCAGCAAAATGATCATTTAATCAACAATTATATCAATTCTGTCTTCCTAATTAATGCCCATAGCTTTATAACAAGTCATATAACTGCAAAATAAGGCCTCCATCAGTCTGAGGTTTACCCAGTGACACAATTACACTCCTTGGTTGTCATTTTATTATTATTAATAATAATAATCCTTGCATTTTATATAGCACCTCATCACATTGTCGATATGTCTCAAAGCGCATCACAGAATAAGCTGTAAAGCTTAGTGACTGTGAAATCCGTGGACAACACTTTTGACCGTTTCCAGATCGACAATGTGCCACCAATGCTTCCCAACGAGTGTTATAAATACAGCAGAATCCTTCCAGGAACATAGACAATCAGGAACAGGAGGAGGCCATTCAGCCCATCGAGTCTGTTTCCAGTTTATTAGATCTATGAATCTCTTTGCACCCCCACCCTATCATCACACCCCTTAATGTAGATATATATATATATATAAAACCCATACGTCTCTCTCTCTCTTTGAAACATCCCTATTTGTTTCTGTCTCTACAGCTCTCTGGACATCTTCACCACCCTCCAAGGTCTCGCTCTTCCCTACCTCTGTGACCTATTAAAACTTCATCAACCTGTCTGCTCCCTCTGCTCTGCAGGTACTGGCCTGCTCCAGGTCCTCCACCGCCTGCTCCACTATCTGCAGTCGGGCCTTCAGCCTTTCTGTGCCCACCCTCTGGAACTCCATCCTGGAGCCCCTCCATCCCGGACTCTCCTTTGCGTCTCAAGACCTTCCCTTTGGACTGTGCCTTCAGTCATCTCCACCCCTCAGCCCACAGCTCCGGTGTAAACCCTCATTGACCAGCATCTTGGGACGTCCTTTCGACGTGAAAGGCGCTGTGTATATACAATTTGTTGTTATTGTTGGACACCCTCGAGTCTGATGTATCCTTCCTAAGACTGGGCGCCCCAAAGTGATCTCATTGCTCCAAATGAGGTCTGATCAGTGCTCTATATAATTTTTTTTAGAGGGTATATTACCGCCTTACTTTTATACTCCAGGCCACTTCTAGTAAATGCCTTACTAAAGGTCTTATAATAATAAATAGTAAGAATCCTTGATTTGATATAGCGAGTTATCCACGTTTGCGAGATGCCTCAAAGCTCTTCACGCAATATATTGTAAAGTGCAGTGACTGTATATTTTGTGGGCGAAACGCAGCAGCCAATTGCGCACAGCAGCGTCCCACAAACAGTTGTGGATTGAAGTGATCAATTTTATTGTTGTTCAAAGGCCTTATTAGCTTTAAGACCTTCAAGTTTTGAACAATATGTTGTCAAACATTTATGTTTTTTACCCACTGACTGAACCTTCCAGCCTCAGCCAATAATCATTTTCTAAACATGGAGAAGTAGCAGTGAGTATCTGGGGTGTGTTTTGCAAAGTGTTTTTCCCCCAAATATGTTGTGTAAGATGCAGCGCCTTATTATAACATCACTAAAATGCCTTAAAGCAATAATGGAGCAGACCAGTACCTGCAGAGCGGATTTATTGTAACGTGTAGTGACTGCGTATTTTGTAGATAAACGCATCAGCTAATTTGCATTCACTGATGTCCGACAACCAGCCATGGAGTGAGTGACCGATTTATTTGGGGGATTGTTGGCCAGGCCTCCGGGAGAGAGAAACTCCCTTCTCTTTTCCAACAGTTCCGTGGGTTCTATTCTAATCAATGATGAACATTGGAGATAATGGGCGGGAGGCATTGTCAGGAGGCACTGTCAGGAGATCTGCTGTGCAGTTCAATGGCATGAGATGCGTTTCATTTTGTTCTGTCAGTCACTGAACGTTTTGCTATTCCCGTAAACAGCGTACTGTAACAGGACACAGTTGCTAACCTTCGCAACTTCACTAAACACACCCCAACATCTCACTGTTTCTATTTCATGCTTTATAAAATGATGATTAGGTCAAAGCATTCCCTAGAATCAGTCAGTAAAGTCAGTCCCTAAACTAATACAAAGCATACGGCTCGTTAGAAACATACACAAATAGAAACAGGAGGAGGCCATTCAGCCCCTCGAGCCTGTTCCGCCATTCTATAATTCATAGCTGATCTGTACCTCAACTCTAATTACCCGCCCTTGCCCCGTATCCTTGATACCCTGACCTAAAAAATATCTATCCTCCTCAGTCTGGACAATGTGACTGTATCCAGCCATAATCCACAGCCTTTTGGGGGAGAGAGTTCCAGATTTCCACTACCGTTTGGATGAAAAACTGCCCCTGACTTCATTCCTAAATGGCCCGGCTCTAATTCTAAGATGATGCCCCCCTTGTTCTGAATTCACCCATCAGAAGAAATAGTTTCTCTGTAGCTGCCCTCTCGAACCCTTTATTATTTTAAACACCTCAAACAGATCACACTGTACAACCCCCCCCCCCTCTCCCTTCAGTCTCTCCAGCCCGCAGACATTCCCAGCCATAGCTCCGGACACCTCTTCACAATGAGGGCCGGAGATTTACATCGGAAAAACTTTTCCCATTAATTTGAAAGTTTAGTTATTTTTGTCACATCTCAAAACCCAGAGCAAAGCTGTGCAGATAGCAACACTGGCACCTGTGTCTGTCTGTAACACCCTGGGCCAGGCTGCTTACAACACAAAGCTTGTGATACGCTGCTTACAACACACCTCTTGTGACACCATAACAACAACAACAAAAATTGCGTTGACACAGCGCCTTTCACCCCGGGAGGACGTCCTGAGGCGCTGGAGAGTTGAGGGCTTGCACCCGAGCTGGGGGGGTTGGAATCAAGTGGGTCGGAGTATATTTGAAGTGGTGGTGAAGAGTGGCCAAAGGCACGGTCAAAGAGGAAGGTTTTGAGACGGGATTTAAAGGAGGCAAAGGAGGGGGCGAAGTGGAGGGATTCGGGGTTGGAGTTCCACAGGGTGGGTGAAGGCCTGATCGCCAATGGTAGGGCGGGTAAGGCGGGGGACATGGAGAAGGTCAGTGCCCGCTGAGCAGAGAGAACGGACAGTTTGTTATGGTGTTAAACCATTGGAGGGCTTTAAAAGTGAGACACGTTGAGTGTGACATACAGTGTCACACTGTTCGGTGATACCCACTCTGATCCAGATTTACTCTAATAACATAGCATTTCAACGTGTTCAGAATTTGTTAAAATTATTAAGCACAGTCGTTAATTTGAAGTTTCTTTTAAGAGACAAAGAACACAGGCTTCAAAGATACAACTGAATTCAGCAAGCTGCCAGATTCCATAGTAAACCTGTACCCAGAAGAAATCTTACCCCAGGATTCTGTGTCACTGTTCATACAGTTAGACGCATGGCTTCCCTGGATCAGCACCTATCTGTTGAAGCTTTCAAATACATTTAAAAAGTATGAAATTCAGCCCCTCGACCCTGCATCACTCAAAAGAACCATAGAAACTTACAACACAGAAAAAGGTGTTGTTCCGTTTGGTCCTTGGAATCACATTGGCTGATCTCCAGGGCAGTCCTGGGATGGCGGGGGTGGTGGGGGAGTGTTGGATTGTCAGAGGTGCTGGCATTAAGATTCCAGGGTAGTATTTGAAAAGAGAAGGGAGTTTCTCTCTCCTGATGTCCTGGCCAACAATCCCCCAAATAAAAAGTGATCATCATTCTGTGGCTGTTGTGGGACATTGCTATGTGCAATTGGCTGTCAGATTCACCCACAAAATACACAGTCACTGCAGTTTGCAGTATATTCTGTGAAGCGCTTTGAGACAGCTTGTCGATGTGATAAGGCGCTATTTCAAATGCAAGGATTATTATTATCCAGCCTCTGCTGGCTCTTTTAAAAAGCGATCCTCTCAGTCCCAGTTACCTGCCGCCACACCTCCACAGCACCAGACGGTTTACCATCCCAGTACTAACTAACCCTAATTCTGCTTAGCTTCCGAGAGACACAGAGACACAGGAACTGCCCCGCTAGTATCTCCTGAAAAAAACAGATTTGCTGTCTTACCACATCCTGATCACAACTCATTTTTGGTTAACGATGGCCCTTTGGCCCATCTGATCTCATAATAATAATAATAATAATCCTTGCATTTGATATCGATCCTTTCTAAGTCATTGAGCCTTATTATGCTTCACCAAATATATTGTAAAGCGTAGTGACTGTGAATTTTGTGGATGAAATGCGGCAGCCAATTTGCACACAGCGACATCCCACAAACAGCCATGGAGCAAAAGATCCTTTTTTTTTAAGCTTGTTGGCCAGGAAATCGGGAAGGAGAAACTCGCTTCTCTTTTCGAATATTGCCATGGGATCTATCATGTCTCATTCTTCCAGATCTCCCACGCCCTCCCATCACGGCACTGGGAAGTCATGAGGCCAGCGTCCCAGCCCCGTCACCAGCCCATTGATCAGCCTATTGTACCCCCTCCCTCCCTCCCATACCCACTCACCTGTTCTCAGGGCGCACATTGAGAAAGTAGTTACGGCTGGTCTCACTCCGTGTGGGCCCTTGCTCTCCCCCATTGCTCTCGTTATCTGAAGAATAACGGCCGTTGGTTGAAGCAGACCGGATCAGACGCTGGAAACTCATTTTTCCGCTTTTCGTTTCTTTTCTCTTCTCTGCTCCCTGGATCGTGTCAGATCTCCAGTCAGGCCGTTGGGGTCAGTGGATCAATGCTGTTGGTGTGATCAAACCACGGCAGGCTCCTCCAACAATGCACTTGGGATAACACAGAGAGTAATCCAACCGCTGTAGACTAGACTCACAACTCCAGCTATTGAACGAGACCCAGTAACAATGGTCAATTGGATACTGTAAGACTCTATTCACAATTGTACTACAGAGTGACCAAAAAATTGTGATACCATTACAATGTCTAATAATAATAATCCTTGCATTTGATATCGTGCCTTATCACTTCTTGAGACGTCTCAATTCACAGAATACACTGACAAGTGAATTGACTGTGTATTTTGTGGGTGAGACACGGCAGCCAATTGCACACAGCAGCGTTCCACAAACAGTCTTAAAGTCTTAAAGAAATTATAATGTTTTTTAGATAAGCGGGTAGCTGAAAATAAGACTTTTTGGTCACCAAGTATTTCAAACATCAATCATTATGAACACCACAGACACACACACATCTCTCTAACAAAAAGCCAATTTTCCTTCAAGTTATTTCATACTCTCTGTCTCTGTCTCTTTCTCTCTCTCTCTCTCTCTCACACACAGACAAATACAATCGATTTTTTTTTGCAAATAACAAAATCAATACTATAGCAAAAATCATTCATTAGAAAACACACATCCTCTCTCTCTAAAAAAATCAATTTTCCTTCACGCTATTTCACATTCTCTCTCTCTCACACACACACGGACACAAATACAATCTTTTTTTGCAGGTTAAACCAAAAAAAATTGGGATCAAAAAGAAATGAAAGCGTTGGGGATAACTAGGGTATGGGAACTTCACTGAGTTGGAAGGAGATCGAGGTTTGAGTTAAAAATAGATTGTTGCAGTTTTAGTTCCCTCCTTGAAATCACTCGCTCTCCCCATAGAAAATCTCTTATCTCTGCATTCAGCAAAGGTCTATTTTACACAGAAATCAGCAGCTAATAAACCTGTCACCGAAATAATAGATGTAATACAATAGAAAGCGAATCTCTGCTCACCATTCTCCCTCTGAGCTTTGCCTCTGCCCCAGTGAATGGCTGCAGATGTCAATCAATCCCCTCTCTGGAGCTATTTATAAAGAAAGAGCTTCACTGTCTGCAAATAACACACCACAGACATCCAGAACTTTACAGCCACTTCCCAACTTATTGCACCAAGTTGGACTGTGAGATTTCTCTCTGTCTTGTTGTCCCGTGAAATGGACAAGCGCCTTGCGGAGTGTGGCAGCACCTGCTCCACAGGGCCTGTTGGCTTCACAGTGTGACTGTGTGTGTTGAGCTGTGTTGTGTGTGTGTGTCTCTCTCTGGAGCACATGAGTGGTCACCACATGCCAGGCAAGCCTGACCTAGCCTGTCATCTCCCAAACTAACCCAAGACCTCAGTCAATCACACTGTCCCACCGCCCCCACCCCCCCACATAGGATGCATTGCTCCACCCATCCATAAACCATCAACAACAACTTGCATTTACACAGCGCCCTTCACACGGGGTACCATTCCGGAGCGCTTCACACTGTCAGAGTCTGACCCTGAGCCAGGGGGAGAGGGAAGGGGGGCGTGACCGTAAACACGATCAAAAAGGAAGGTCTTTAGATGGGTTTTAAAAGTGGGGAGAGGCAAAGCAGAGGATTCAGGGAGAGAGTTCCAGAGAATCGGGGCGTAGTGGCTGAAGGAACGGCTACCGATGGTGGAGAGAAGGACACGAGGGACAAACAGGAGGCCGGAGACAGCCGAGCGGAAGCAGCGGGTGGGGGAGTGGGGGGTGAGCAGGTCGGAGAGTTAGGGAGGTGCCAGGGTATGAAGGGATTTGAAATTGTGTGAGAGGATGTTGAAATCGATCTGTTCGGTAATTTAGAGCCAACAAAACAACAACAAATTACATTCCATCTGGAGGAAGTCCCAAGGCACTGGACAGTCAGAAAGGATTTGCAAACGTTGGACAAAAGCGTATCAATATATTTTTGTCCAAAGTTTGTATCTAAACCTGTGGAAAAGTCAGATGTTTGCACAGTTGAAAGTCTTTGGGAAACTAGAGAAAACAACCAAATATATTGGGGCTGATTAGAATTATTATAATCTCTCTGTTTAGCCAAGTACTGTTATTAATATTGAACGTAATAATCTCACTGTTTTTTCCATTGTCTGTAACATCAATAAAGGATTCCCTGTCCAGTCTAATGATTATATTTCATGTGAATGTAGCAGCTAATTACACACATCAAAGTCAACTGGAAAGTGTAGTGACTGTGTAGATAATAATAACCCTTGCATTTGATATTTGTTTTTGTAAGCAAATGGTAATGTCAACTGTAAAGTGTAGTGACTGGTTTTATTTTGTAGGAAAATGGTACAACCAATTACACACAGTTGGGAGTGGATGCTAAAGAGATGCGGGGGTGGGGGGGGCACAGGAGGAGGAAGATGCCCAAAAACTGAGTCAAAAAGGTGAATCATTAAGTGGGCTTTGAAAGTGGAAATTCAGATCAGAGCAAACTGATTAAACACAGAGAGTCCTCCCGACAGCTTGTGTCTACATTACTGTAATAATAATATAATAACCTTTGTATTCTATACAGCGCCATATTACGTAATCGTATTACGTAATATTACGTAATATTCACAGAATATACTGTAAAGTGAATTGACTGGGCAGAACGCAGCAGCCAATTGTGCACAACAGCCGTGGATTGAGTGACCAAATTATTATTTTTTATTATAAAAAAAATTCTTAACACTGATTCCATAAACTTCAGACAAAATAGATGACCGCAGCAGAATACTGAATTACTCATTTTCTTTTAAAAAAAATTCCTGTGACACTATTCTTTACATCTAAACATCGTATATATCAGATCTATGTATATAACAACAAGAAAATTACATTTGTAAAGCTCCATTCACGTCGGGAGGACGTCCCAAGGCGCTGGACATACAAAGTTTCGGACCTGAGCTGGGGGACGGGATCGGAGAGGGTGGAGGCGGGTGGGGATTCAGGGAGAACGAAAGCACGGTCGAAGAGGAGGATCTTGTGATGGGTCTTGAAGGGGTCAAGGGAGGGGGCGAGGTGGAGGGACTGCGGGATGGATTTCCAGAGGGTGGAGGCAGAGTTACAGAAGGCCCACCATCCAATAGAGGCGAGCGAGGCGTGTGACGTAAAGCAGGCCGGAGCCCGCTGAGCAGAGGGAGCGAACAGGGTGGTAGGGGGTTAGGAGGTCACAGAGGTAGGGGGTAGCAAGACCATGGAGGGCTTTGAAGGTGAGGCCCAGGATCTTGAACTGTATCCTCTGTGTGATGGGAAGCCAGCGGATTGGGCGAGGATGGTGGTGATAGGGTCACGGAGCCTGGTGCGGGAGAGGACACGGGCTGCAGAGTTTTGGATGATCTGCAGCCTGTGGAGGGAGGAGTTGGAGAGGCCGACAAGCAATGAGTTTGCATAGTCGAACCTCGATGTAATGAAGGCGCGTGTGAGGGTTTCGGTGTGAGACAGTGTCGGAGCCAGGCGATGTTGCGGAGGTGGGGGAAGGCAGAGTAGATCATGGCACAGATGTGGGGTAAAAAGAATAGTTGAGGGTCGAACAAGACCCCAAGGTTTCGGCCTGGCTCAGCAAGGTGGAATGTGCAACCATGGATGGTGATGCTGTCAGTGCCTGAGGTGAGGAGGCGCTGGCGGGAGGCAATTAGGAGCCTCGGTCTTGCTGGCGTTCAACTGAAGAAAATTAGCTCTCAACCAGGACTTCATATCCAACAGACACCGTTTGTGGAGATGAAGTGAGAGGTACGATCTGAACTAGTTAAAGACAGAGCCGTGAAGGTTGAGGTGAGAGGGGGTGGATGAGGATAGAGCAGTCAAAGGCATCGAAGGCAGCAGAGAGGTCAAGGATGGCGAGGAGGCAGAGGGAGCCCTGGTCACAGATGGACAGAATGTCCTTGGTCACTTTGACCAGGGCTGTTTCTGTGCTGTGGGCGGCATAGAAACCCGATTTGAGGGGTTCAAGAAGGGAGTGACGGGAGAGAAAGGAGTGAAGCTGAGAAGCAACAACTCGATCCAAGACCTTGGAGAGGAAAGGGAGGTTGGAGATGGGGTGTATAGAAGGGTCCAGGGAGGGTTTTTTAAGGATAGGAGTGATGACTGTTGTTTTTAATGGGGTGGGAACGATGCCAGAGCACAGGGAGAGATTTATAATGTCAGTGAGTAGAGGGGCAAGGAGGTGGAGCTGGGAGGTAAGGAGAGGGGTAGGGATGGGGTCGAGGGAGCAGGTTTTTGTTTTCATGCGGGTTATGGTGGTGATGAGAGAGGAGGGGGAGACAGGCTTGAAGGTGTGGAGAGAGGGATGGGGTAGGTGCCGGGGTGGGAGGGGGAGATGGGGAGGGGATAGCAGATGGAATGGCAGAGGAAGCTGAACGGATAACTTTGACTTTGGATTCGAGGAAGTCCAGCATCTCCTCGCTGTTGGCAACAACAACAACAAAATTAGGGGAGGGTGGAGGGCAGGAGAGGAAGCAGGGTGATCGCAAGCACCCTGCTTTCCCCCAGCCCCCCGCCCACACCCTCCACCCTGCTTATTAATAATGAGGATTATTATTATTACCATTATCAGGGACACAGACACAAAATATAAAATAACTAATATAACCGTCGTGGGTAGATTTCTTTGGTGACTAATACAATAGGATTTGTTAGGAAATGACCATTACATACTAATCATTATTAATTTCTTATGAATATGACTTTAGGATGACCTGCGCCACACAGTACTGTATTTTGCTGTTACTAAGAGACACAGTTCTGTTTATAGTCACAGATGGTGATCACAAGATTTCGAACAGCGAATCTGGCAGGCGAGAAACCTTGCACATACAGTGTGATCATAGAAACCACGTGCTGTCTCAAATTAAGTAAGAAACGCCATGATTAAGCCATGATTCCCACTCATAGAAATTCCTTCACACCCTGACACCTCCCTACCTTTCTGACCTGCTGTCTCCACACTCCGCTAATCAGTGGCTGTGACACGGGCTCCAACGGATGGAGAGAAACCCAAAGATTTTGTTTTAGTTTGAGAGAGAGTGAGCAAGCGGACACAGTGGAGAAGGCTCTTAGTTAGCGCTGTAGCTCACGTGTATTTTGTGTGATCACTGTTTTACCCACAATGTTTCCATAAACCCCACTGTGGCGGATAATAACAAATAATAATAATAGCAATAATAATCCTTGCGTTTCGACATCAAATTACATTTGTAAAGCATCTTTCACACCAGTAGGACATCCCAAGGCACCGGACAGTCAAGGATTTGTACCTGAGCTCAGGGTTGGAATCAGAAGGGGTGGAGGTCGGGGAAGGTAGGAGTAGGTGGTGGTCGAGGAGGGTCTTGAGGTATTCCTTGAAGGAGGCAAGGGAGGGGGCGCGAGGCGAAGAAACTGTGGGATGGAGTGCCGGGGGGAGGGGGTATAATAATAATATAATATATATGATATATATTATATATATAGTCCTGTAGCTCAGTGGTTAGACCACTCGCTTTGCAAGTGAGAGACCTGAGTTCAATTCCAGGCAGAGGGCGAAACCTTGGGCAAGTTTCCTAACTCCACACAGAGCCTAATAATAATCCCTCCAAAACCAAAAACAATAATAAATTGGTCATTTTCAATCTACGACTGTTTGTGGGACATTGCTGTGCGCAATTGGCTGCCGCGTTCGCCCACAAATATACAGTCAATTCACTTTACAGTGTGTTCTGTGAAGCGCTTTGGGACGTCCTCCCGACGTGAAAGTCTATATCAAATGCAAGGATTATTATTGTTATTATTATTAGTGAGTTGATTAGTTGGTTGGCTAGTGAGTGGGTTGGCTGGTTGGTTGGCTAGTGTGTGGGCTGGTTAGTGAGTGGGTTGGCTGGTTGGTTGGCTAGTGTGTGGGCTGGTTAGTGAGTGAGTTGGCTGGTTGATTGGCTAGCGAGAGGGTTGGTTGGCTAGTGAGTGGGCTGGTTAATGAGTGGGTTGGCTGGTTGGTTGGCTAGTGAGTGGGTTGGTTGGCTAGTGAGTGGGCTGGTTAGTGAATGGGTTGGCTGGTAGGTTGGCTAGTGTGTTGGCTGGTTAGTGAGAGGGTTGGCTGGTTGGTTGGCTAGTGTGTGGGCTGGTTATAACAACAACAAGATTCCATTTATAGAGCGCCTTTCACGTCGGGATGAAGTCCCAAAGCACTGGACAGTTGGGTCAGGACCCGAGCAGGGGGGAAATGGTCAGGGTGAGGGGAGGAGAGGGTTGTGAGGAGGGGGTGGAAATGGTCA